AAATATGAACACTTTTGAATCGCGCCTGTGATCTAAAGATTAAGTGTCCGCGCGCCAAACCAACTTCGGCTCGTGTATAAACACTGCTGAGGAGTCCAGTACTAGGAAGAAATGACCATATAGTGCTTTCCGGTTTTCAATGATCATCTAACTAAGATCAGTCTGCGATTTAAATTATGAGTATCCTACAATCTCTACTTATAATAAATTGTTGTATTCAATGATTCAAGTTATTCAGTGTTTGGAATCAGCTCTGAATACGTCAATTTATCAGTTGACAACAGCGATGACCTTGAGTTGATAAATACTTTTCACAAAAGTCAAACAAATACATAATACACTTTGTACTTGTTAATGATTAGCTTCAACATAGATTTCATCATTTTTTATCTTGGCTTATGAGATCGACCAGAAAAAGAATAGTAATAAGGTATTAGTTTATAAAGTGAACATTGGATGAATATTGTGTGCTACATCACAAGTTGGCTAAAATAAGAAAATGAGGACAACTAAACTGTACTGTATTCATTACAGTGCCGGTTTGGTGTTATTTATGGCGTTAAGTTCCCACTGCTTTAGGTACTTTAAACAAGAATCACACAGCCGTCCATTGTCCCTTAATTTAACATGAATTCTTCAGGTGACATGAGTTCATGATGCGAAATCCTTTCAATTCATATAAAAGCTATTTCCGTTGATTATCAGATGAAATTCAATTCCTGTTTCACAGAGTACGTGAAAAACAAGGTGTTGTAGGATTCATAGATATCTGTATGAATTATGATTACTGGACAGCTTTACAATGTGTAAATAATTTTGAAATTTGATTAGAATAAGCTTAAAATAGTAAACGTTTTGACAGAAACTAAGATAAAATTGCTATTGTTTAATCAATATTTGCGTACTTTTGCTGTCATTTATTTTCTCCCTAGATACTTCGTATATAAATTTAGACTATGTAACATACCAAAGTGGAAATTAGATTATACTGTTTATATTCTACTAGTTATTCAGTCAGTCAGTCACAAACAGTATGATAAACTGTCTTGAATGTACATTAATATTCAGTACAATGAACATAAAATTATCAGGATAAATTTCAGACTAGTATAGAGGTATTAACAGTTTTACTGGTAGTAGAAAATAATAAACAAAGTTAATATAATTCGAAAAGAAAAGGAATTTTCGGAGTAATAGAATATAAGATAATTTCAAAACCCTAGATTTAGTGACAAATAATGAAAGTAAATGCATCTGAACCATTGTATCCGATTTTCGAGCCATTTCACTAAATATTTTCGCATGTATCTTGATAATTTCAATAACTCCAAACAATTAGTTTGGACCGTCTAAATTGGCTCAAAGTAATATCCAATCATTTGATAAATCGATGCCACGTCTTAATTTTGGTCACCTTTTGCTTTCTTTCAACCGGCACTCCTACATCAGCAAACATGATCCATCGAAGTAGACTATAGAGTCAATCTCATTGCATTAGACTGTACCAATTATCGCTTTATGAATGGTTAATTGGTTCAACTAAATTTATTCTGTCATTCTTCTTATAAAAAATCAACTTCATATTGTGAGTAATTTGGTGTCAGTGTTTTTGTTTATTCTTTTAATGTTCAATGATAGCCAGCACAAATTACACCTATTGTAGGTCGTATTCGTCACAGATTGGTCTTGTTTGGATACCATTGAAATTCGAGGGACACTGGGTAATTGCTTTATCCCAGTATGGGAATTGTAGGAATTCTTTCCGCAACTCTCTAAGCGAACTATTTCAGTCCGACTAGGAAAATAAGTCATTGTAATCCTATTAAGTATTTTGTGATCCTTTGTTCAACTACATTTCCTAAAATATCATTGTAGGTCTATTGAGCATATATTCGTGGGCGTAATTATTCACCCGTACAGGTTGTTTCTTTTTCCAGATTCCGTGTGCACATGTGTTAGTATGTATCTGTCTATGTATCGTATACATTATTGTTTGACCTATTAGTCTGCATTTTTTTTAGTTCAGTGATCATGGCCAAAGTCAAATTTCCATATTTTTCCTACTGTATTCGTCGTTTGTCTGGCCACATAAAGATACTTTGAATATATGTATCTTCTATAAATTTTGTATTTTTAGCTTTTTGAGTTCACATTATAACACTCGAGTTTAAGTCAATGAACATATACGAAATAAAGCGTGAAATATATCATTTGATTCAAGTCAAACATGGGCTATAAAAGCCTCTTTAGCCTCTTTAGCCACGTTTAACCTCGATCCCACCAGGGAGCATTCTCTGAAAAACCTGAGGGCCCTAAACTCTGATTCTTATAGTATTATGAGTTTGCTCTGCTAGAGAGTCTCAATCCAGAAAGAAACGGCCTTCTAGTATTCCCTGATTCGCAATCTTACCGCAACTTAGATAAATCTTTTACAACCCACGAAATAAACCAAACTCCAAAAAGCTCTACCAATCAAACTAGGTATCTCCTTTCATTTTTACCTAATTACAATTTATTTCTCATCCTCACTTGACTTTTGCATTTTCATTTGTTTTGTCTTCATTTTCAATTTCTGTATTCTGTTTGACTTCTTAAAAAAACCCATCGGTATTGTTGTTTCTATTTTGAAGCGGAAATAATTATTGATAGTAATTAATTGAGGCCGCTCTTATCCATCCTTTACTCTCATTTTTTGTTAGTTCATACTAAGTCGCGGCTTTCGGAGAATGTTTATGTTCTGTCATTGTCCAAGTCTGTCACTGATGTATATACTTCATTTAAGTGTCCCCAAGTCAGCTATTTGAGTAAAAAAATCAAGTATTTTATTTGATAATCAATTTTAAAATATATGCACAACTCATCTATAACAGAAAAAAAAGATGTAATATATTTCCCTCAGAAAACCAGGCCATTTTTTCAACTAATGGTGTATATCTCTCATGTTTTTCAATTTAAGCCAAATCTTACCCAGTAGCTTGCTCTCATCATCATTTCTCACTCATTATTTGGCCATGACCGATATGTTTAGTTGGCCTAGCATGTCAGACTGGACAATGACTAGGTAGAGAACAGTTGAATCATATCAACGAAATCATAATTTATATGATAATGTAAAAGACCCATTTTCTTATTTCAAGATATCGTTTGCTGAAATCACACTTAGATATTGTCATTCAACTGTCGTGAAAAAATGAAATTATTCAGTTCAAAGGCTGACATAACACTTACCAAAGCTTGCATCTGAATTAAGTAATAGGTCTTGTGCACCACCTTGGAAAAGTAAAGGAATTTTAAGGCGAAAGTTATTCCCGATAAAGTTGAATATTGGCTAGCGTGGGATTTCAGGATATATATTTAGATCTACCTGCATCCTAATGCTGATTTTTATACTAAGTTTCGAAACCAGTACTTTTCTTCTCAAGCATGCACAACGGGTTTTTAACTTAGTTATTAGGTGCAGATAGCCGCTGGGTTTTTTTAAAATCGACAACCAAGAATACAGAAACCCTAAAAATAAAATTTATACCTGTTTTCCAAACTAATATTTATCTGAACTCTGTAGCTCAATGGATAATGCTTTAGAATTTGAAACGAAAGGTATTGGGATTAACTCACCGTTTGAATATCAATACTGAAGTGTAACAACCATTTAATATTGCAAATGGGTTGAAACGCTTGTTCTGTTCCGCACTACCAACCACTATCCAAGTTTGCTTAAATACATGTAACTTGGTGACATTATCGAGACGATCTGCTCTGGCTTACAATACTTAACATTAAAAACAATAAGAAAATACTAATCTTAAACAGAAGGAAACTATTCTTTATCAATATCTATGAATATTAAGTGTTAATGATCAAATGTTCACGGATTCGTTTACTAAGATAATGATGCGATTTATTCATACATTGTTTATCACTCTTATCATTATTGAATTAGAATTATTCATCAATTCAATTGCTCTTCCAAGCACTCGTTTGTTTTGCTGGGAAACAAGAGTAATTCTAGATCATCTTCCACACAAGATATATTTTTTATATTCATTTCAGTTTCTTTTTTCTGTGTATACTAATTGATTTGTCGTATAAAAATAAACCACATACATACACATACACACACCTCCGAATTTATCCATTTTTTTTAAAATTTCCACTTGTTTTATCCTTGATTTATGTGTGAATGTGTTTGTGTGTGGAAGATTAAACTTCATAGCGTTTTGTAATTTCTGTACTGAAGTTTTTCAAATTACCAGTTGGTTTATTACCATTATTATCTTATTGTTACATACGCTCATTAAAAATTGGTATCCAAATCTGTCATACGGGTATGTTCAACAAAAAGTGATACAGAATCATCTCAGTACACACCATGCATATCGAGATGATGATAATGACTGTTGCGTTAATGTTTTTAGGAAAAAAATAGATATAGATAATTCTTGTCTTAGCAACTCACCTATTATTATTATAGGTTCCATTCTTCACAGGTTAACCTTAGTTGGGGTACCACTGAAAATCAGGAAGCATTGGGCAGATGTTTCCTCCTAGTATGGGACTTCTACTGCAATGTGCTTCTATGACGTTGCCAATGGTCGAACATAGGATCTTCATGTATCATAGCTAGTTCTTAACCACTGCGTCGACGTTTAGTGGTATAATTCTAAATTCAAACAATTTGCGTTATAATGCAATGAAAATCGAATTCCATTGACGATAACTATATCATTTTCGACACTTTTGATTACTTTTCAGTACAAGACAGATGTGTCTAAATGCTCCTTTAATTGTCATGTTACCCTAACTAACAACAATCTGTGGGGAATGCAACATAAATGAAATCAGTCATCACAAACCACTTAAATCAAGACTTTTTAAATAGTACTTTTTGGGGATTTAAGTATCGTTTTACTATTTTCTCGAACGTTTTCATGAGATTATTCTTGAAAGATTGAGATTTACTAGTAATTGTTTCAAGTTTTTCTTTTCAAATCTATTTCCAGCTCATCAATATTACAGTCAGTACCAGTGCAGTTGCCAAGCTACCGACAATAAGAAATCACAACTTTTCTCGCTATCTACAAATCTTAAACCAACAGATTTCGATCAAGGTAAGAAAATGTATTTTAAATTACTAGTTCTCATTAAAAACGGTTAAATGTTTTATTTAATATTTATGTGATACTTGTATTTATTGTGCAGTGATAGTTTAGCGAGAGGGACGAACTTAAAATAACCATGACGAAGTTCCAGTAATTTTTTAGCGAATCACAAAACAACTTTTGTATATTAATAGTTTATGGGAGAGATAGTAATGATGTTGAAAAAGTAACCGGATTTTGCACAATTAGTAAGTTTATTGATGTCGTCTACAGGTCACAATGATAGTTAACCCTAAAAAAACAACGAAATTTGATATAGACTGTCCATCTTCTCAAACCTTTAAAAGGGTCCAAACAGATTTGTAATGGTTCCCACATTGTACCTAGTTAGAATTAGAGTCATAATTTTCATCAAAAACCGGTATCAGCTATAATGTACAAGCGCTCAGCAGTTATATTTATGAGTGAATTTTGTTCCAACATAAAATAGGCACCCATATGATTATTTAATCCGTAAGATTTTGCACAACCAAGTTAGGGTTCGTTTTGGAATTAAAGGTTTATAGTATGAATCCAGGGTTAATGTTAATTTGCTTGTTATAAATAATCAACAGACGCAAAATCAGGCATTTGATATATCTAACTAGTATTTTTCTTTTACGGTTACGATAGCTTTTCGCTATAAATGTAAGCGCCTGGCGCGAAACTGATAGGTCCTGGTTTCGAATCCCACGAGGCGTGGTCGTGGATGCGCACTGCTAAGGAGTCCCATACTAGAAGGAGACGGCCGGCCAATGCTTCGAGGTTTTCCATGGTGGTCTAGCTTTAATTGACTCATGATCTCGACTGTTGAAATTACTACAATCTCCACATAACCCATTCTGATACTAATCAACCTATGCTCACTAGTGACTGACTTCAAGAGGTATATACTGGAGTTCTAGTGAGAAGTAGTGACCAGTGGAGTTCAACCAGGTGTGTTGTGAGATAGTAAATCACTGAAGACAAAGGTGGACGTGTCGCTCAATTTTGTGGATTAATTGAAGTTAGACATTAACACCGTTGGATGCCGGCTCAGTGGTCTAGTTTGCTAAGCGCCTGGGGCGAAACTGATAGGTCCTGGGTTCGAATCCCGTGAGGTGGGGTCGTGGATGCGCACAGCTGAGGAGTCCCATACTAGGACGAAACGGCCGTCCAGTGCTTCCAGGTTTCCCATGGTGGTCTGGCTTCAATTGACTCATGATCTCAACTGTTGAAATTAATGTAAACGATTTGAGCTCTATATGAATGTATTTCTACTGAGCGTTAAACATGCCGATTGTCTAAGCAAATCATCTTTTAGCCGTTCCACCACAGAACAGGTGGCATCGAAAATTCATATTCCAACATTCACCCACTGTTTTCAGTCAGGTCACTAGACAGTCAACCTATCTGGGATGGTAGGTTTTAAAGAAATGGCTTTTTGAACTAACATAGCTCGATCGAGTTATAGAAGTATCAAATCTTGTTGTTATCAAAACTATACTTACTTGTAATTAAGTTATCTGATGTTAGTCATAACAGTAGTACTACTGACTAATATTAGTAATTAAAGTCATAGTAGTAATCATCATAATAGTATATATATATTCATTACAGTACATGTCATGAAATCTTAGAATGTATTCTGGACATTAAATTATGATAATTGCTTTTAATACATGAAAAATCATTCATTCATATACATAGATGTATCATCTGATTGTATGTTATAATCTCTAGTTTTCTACATTATGTCTTATTTTCTTTGTATCCCTATACATACATACATAAGCAGATATACATTAGGACGGTTCCCATTCAGCTCTTTGTTCACTTCATTGTACCTATCCAATGCATATACCATCTACACTAAGTGAGGCAGACACCTGTTCATACGAGAAACTAACTCTGTAAATAATTGGATCAATATGTCTAATGAAGATTTATTTTTAAAAAACAAAACAGTTCAAGGCAATAAAGACTTGTCCAAAAATGATTTTTTTCATAGACATTGTTACTTTGTTTCGTTTCATAAATTCTTTAGTCTTAAATATTGAAACATTTTTGCTGAAATATCTTTTCAACAACTACCCATCAATGTCAGACCACCATTTAATAACTTGAAGCCACTGGACTCCCGTTCACTCCTAGTATGGGACTACTCGGTAGTGCGCATCTATGAAAACGCAGCTAGGAGTCAAAACGAGGACCTTCAGTCGTGTGCGAGAACGTTTAACCTCTAAACCAATAAGCTAGCATCCAACGGCGTTGATGTCTAACTTCAATCAGTTCACTATATTTCGCAACCATCTCCCATTGTCTCCAGTGGTAACTGTTTTACACCCGACACGAAATAGCTTCACTGATCACAGATTCATACTGGAACTATGAAAATTTCCCCTCAAAGCTCATCACTAGTGAGAACATGATATTTTGAATTATAGGGTTGAGGAGGTTGTTGCGTTTCATTGAAATGAAAAACCGATGGATGCTAGGGTTATGCGTTCGTACATAAAACTATAGGTCCTGGGATTGATTTTTGTGTTTGTGGTGGTGGATGTGCAGTGCTGAGTAACTCCGTACTGGAACAAGATCGACATTCAGTGATTCTAGATTTTTCAATAGTGGTCTTACATTGACAGGTTTATGATTTCAGTGAAACTTGAAAATCTCTACAACCTTATGCCTACATCTACTCAAAATGTCAATCAGCAGCTAATTGTGTTAGTAGTATGTATGGTATTGTGTCGACAAAGTCTGTGTAAAATTGCATGCAATATATTTTTATATCAGATAGTCGAAAATAGCAGATAGGAAACTTTGATCTTGCATGTAATCGACTGAATTTTATCAGTATTGAAGGACTAGACGACCATGACATTGAACACTATACTAAAAGCCAATCAATTGTGAATAATTTAGGAGATCAATCTTGGCTTTCGTTTCTGTGTGGTAATTTCACAGGTTGCATATATAGTAACACGGCTTCAATTATCACAAGGAGTACCATTTTCCTCAAGATTGCAGGTACACATTGTCGATACGGTCATATTAGCACCAAACCTAGGTCAAGTAGGGGTATCGTGTCGACTACCTGCAGTTATCTAATAAATTCCGTTACATTCACAATCATTCTTAATTCCTTTATTTACTGCTTCAGAAATCATTTGATTTAAACACAGACATAAGCGTACTATTTGGTGAAATTACTAGATAAATAATTTTGATATTCTATTTCTCCTTTTTTTACTTTACTTGTTTTTCAAAAACAAAATTGCAGATTTTATATTTCAAACAAATTACACGACAACATTTGCTGAACAAATAATTGAATCACATGTAGGATTCATTGAATTACCAGAGAATGAACATGAAAGTTACTTCAAATTCAATATTATTGGTTACAGTTTGTTAAAAGATGTACAAATTGGTGTGGTATTTGTAGAAGGTGGACAAGCAGGAAGTAGAACAAATGCAGTAAGAATCATTATTGCTAATATGTTTTCTTTAAAAGATTTTGATAGTGAAGTTATATAATAGAGGTCGAACGGAAGGTTGACGAACTTTTGAAATAATCTTAAGAAGTGTATGATTTGTCAGTTTTAATGCTGCTGAATAATAAGAATGAATGAATAATATATATATATATATATATGTTTTGTGTGACCTAGTCATTTGTGAAACAATGGGACTTTGTGATATATAATGAATATAATTCAAGTCATAAGGCTAATTACAATAAACATAAATGGATTGTGTACCAATTTTTTGTCCTGTTTTTTTCTAGAATATAGAAGAGACAAGTGTTCAAGCGTTTCCAGGCATTAATGTTGGTTCTGATGTATGGTCTATACCTGTTTATAAATATGAACTACAAGATGTTTGGCCAGATTCTGTCGATAATAGCGTGATCTCAGTTACATGGAGTATTCCAAAAGCTTTATCAGCTACAAAATCACCATCTGTGATTAGAGATGTTTTTCGGGCATTGAGTAAGTTGTGAATGAGTAATTTTTCTGATAATGTTATCGTACATTTTACTCTCCTACTCACCCAAAACATACACACTAACATGCGTTCGTACTTCGTGCTGATGTTAGATTGTTCGATTCAGTCAACAGAAAATACGAAGTTTATATTTCATTCCATTTGTCAACCATCAGCTAACTGGAATCTATAGTCTTGGAAAAGAACTTTTACTTCCATCATGAGATTCAAACAAATGTCGTTTACCTACATCACTACTTACAGACTTGAGATGTTACATTTTAGTATCTGTATTCAGTCAATGACTGACTCTGATAATTATCGAACATTAGTACAGGTAGATTAGCAGAGGCTGTGTTTATACATCTGAAGGGTTTAAGTTCAATAAACGTCCTCTTTCACTCGTAGTTTTCTCATTCAGAAGTCGGTTATGGGTTTGCGTATAGAAAGTTAGTTTCAATATCAGACAACGCACATCAAAATAGGTGACAAAATTTTAAGAATACCAATTTCGACTACAGATTATCCACAATGTTTTCATTATGTCCATTAAATGTACCATGCAAGTCTAGCATTATTGGTAATTTTTTTTGTTCATTTGTTGAGTAATTGTAGTTTGTTTTAGCGATATTAACTTCGAACTCTAAATTTCACTATACGTGTGTTTATAATCCTGTATATTGGGCTGTACTACATTGCGCATAAAGGATGTTTTAGTAATGTCTTCAACCCATTTACTTGAAATCTTTGGTGAAATTTACATACACTGTAGCGTTCTTCTGCTGAATGAATAAAACTCTGACTGGAAGTTTCAGAGACTAAACGCTTGTTTTCTAGACGAGAGACCCTTGGGTCATGAATGCCCACCGTTGAGAAGTTCCATATTAGAGCGAAACTTACTTATCCAGTGCTTCTTCTTTTTAATTGGTCATTGAACTAAGATCATTCTTTTTAATGTTAACTATAATATAATAAAAATATTTTTCAAATTCAATCGGTCAATTAATTTTTTATTGACAATTTTAATTTTAGTTATTACGTCAAGTGGGGTGAATACAGTTCGTGGATGGGTTTGGCAAAGAGATTCACATTTATTAGATATTAGAGCTTACCATCAATTAGACGAAAATAATGTCGATAGTCAGTTGAAGCTATTAACCTTACAACGTTCTGGTTGTTCCTCCAGTGAGACCGAAGATGAAGTTGTTGCCAGTGTTCAAATTAAAGGTTTGTACAAAACTATGATAATGATATAGTAAATTTATATCTATATATAAACTTTTGTGGTACTTGTCTCTTATGTTTTACTGTAATTTGGAATTCTTTAGACATTGTGTTTATCCTCAACATTCATTTTAGGTATATAACCGATACCTTGCATAATGATAGTTCAAACAATATCAGTGATACTTGCCTTAATCTAAACATAGTCTAACTGCTTAAATTGGTCACCCGTCTTCTGAATTAAACTTTCAGAGCTCATATAAAATATCAGTCACCAGAGAACGAACAATTGTCATGAAGATGTTAATTTTAGTAGAGATTGTTCTTGAAATGGAAACAAAAAATTATATGTCTTTCAATTAAAGCCTGATGATGGTTAAACATCGACACCAGAATCTAGTACTCTCAATAAGTCAACCTAGCTAATTTCAGTCAATGAAAATTTGCAAATTAACTTAGAATAGAACAATCTTGACGAACTTTTGATTTTTATGTATTTTACTGTCAAATAAAATGTATTTACATGACTTTATAAATTGCTACAAAGTTTTAATTTGTAATTCAATAAAAAATAATATTCAACACGATGTATTCTGAGATATAATTGTAATATCTCGATACTTTAGTGAGAAAAAAAAACTACTCGAAAATTAACGATCATATTATTTGTTCAATGAAAATTTCAAAGGAAATTTGAGCTTAATCTTACTTGTTGAAATGTATTTATTATGAAACAATTTTGTGTATTAATCAGGATAAAATCTATTGATAATCTCGATATAATATCAATCTATGAAGTCATTAATTTTTGGCGAATGATCAACGTTAGCAGTGTGAAATATGACATTAGACAGAAGGCAGGTATGTTTATTGCGAGAAGCTACTAGGTATTTACGTAATACATATACATAGCCTTCCGTCGTCCATTTTCATCTTTAGGTTTTTTCTGTCTTCTCGTCTTGTGTCCAAATATTCTGCCAACGCTGTGCTTTTGATGCACTGAAAGCCTTCACAATTGTTGAAATTCGACACCACACTCAGTTACATACTAATTACAAGCATCCATTACAGCAAGTGTTAATTACCACTTGATTGTGGAGTCTGCTCAATTATTGTAACCAGTTGTTGGGAACGTAGAGCGATATAGCTCGGAATTGATTGCAGTAGTGTTAATACATTCATTCTTTGTCTTTCCTCAGGTCCAGAATTTTTAATTATATTATTTGTCATTTTTATTTCATGATTACAATCATCCTTCTCCAATCATAATCTACTATAAAGTGAAACCAAAAGAATTGAAATCTCAAGGCAACTAGCAAAACCTGAGCAACCAATGAAATCAAGAAAGTTGATCACTTGATGTAGTTAAGCATCAGTGATATAGTGGATATTTATCAAGCTACATGATGGATTGCCCGCTAGTATTCTAATAATCCTTCAAACAATTTATTTGTAGATGTGTATATCTGAAAACAAATTTAATTGGAATTATGAAATATTTATTGAAATAATTATACAATACTATTATTTTTATTGAAGTGAAGTATTAAATTGATTACATGTTTTGATCACGATTCTCATTATTTGAATTATCAATTATTACAATATAAAGAGAAGTATTTCTTCCGGTTTAAAATATGAATAATTATGATTAATAATACATAAAACGGAGTTCATAAGTTGTTTAGGTAAGGCAAGGTGAAATCCAGGATACATATTCTAACTTTTTGGAGACTCTTTACTCATCTCATCCTAATATAGATGTCCAAATGGTATTGTTATCCAGAATTGAATCTATAGTCAGACTTTGTGGATAACACTGAGTATCATTAAGCTACATGAATTATTTTTAGCTCCATCTTGAAAAGTCAATATTATATGAATAAAAAGGAACACAAAGGTAAGGTAAATAACTACGACGTCTTCCTTCACATTAAAAGGTACCCAGAATAATATTACTAAAAATAACTATCTAATAAATACACACGTATATAAGATATATATTCATACAAGAATGTGCTCAGTGAAAAGATTCAACCAACCAATACAAATGAATTAAACTTCCAGTCAGTGGCTATCTGGATTCAGTACCTAAGTAAATAGCATGATAGAGTTTGAGACAAACGGTACTACGTTAGAGTCCCGAAACGAATACTTATTGTGGTATATAGGCATATTCAACCGACGAGGCCTAAGTAGGACGAAATGCACATTCTGGATCCCACTGCTTGCCATAATTTATCTCTGCTAACAATGCTTTTGAATTGATATTAATATCAAAGCGATTCACACATATAAAAAAAGACTGATCCATTGCAACCCAAAATAATAGTCGCAAGATTCAAATAACTATTTACTTATAGAAAATTGATTTTACTTATTCTCTTTCGAATCATATAAATTTTTTTGAATAGATATCAAGCAGTCTTTCGTTGTTGTTCAAAATCTCATTGTCTCACATCTTCTGTTCTTTTATGTTGATCGATTTTCATAGACGGACAATGTAGTACAGATAATAATGACATTATTACATGTACACGTACAATTCATGGTCAAATAATTCAATTTAAGTTAAACAATCCATCTACATCGGATGTTTATAAATTATACATGAAATCTGTTGAGGTTGAGGATAATGTTGAATCAGCTCCTAGTACTGAATTAGCCACCTCTGGATCACTTGGTGAAACAGTTAAAGAAGATATTAAGGGTTTGTTATATGATTAGTATTGTGTTTATTGATTATTATTTATCATGTTTGTAAGAAGTTACTAGTATTGATAAGTTGATATTGTCTCACCACCATTGTCTATCCTGATGAAGGATGTTTCCTGGTGTAGATTATGTAGGTTGGAAGAAAGCTAGGGAGATTTGCTTAGTTTCTTTCAATCGCTACTGTGATTATGACTGAAGATATTTTTTATACCTATCAGAAAGATATTTTACTTGTGATTATTTTTTCTTATCCATTATCTAATCAATTAATTTTATGTACAATATCAGCTGGGGGTAAATGAATTATTCAATTTAGGAAGTTTTTATTAAGGATCCAGTTGATACGACAAAATATAACTTTATTCAGTCGATATGCTAACTGAAGCTATGAAGAAATTAGCGTACAAAACGTTTGTATCAACATTATACTTGCAAAATTCTTTTTATTTATGATAGTACACTAGTTATGTTCATGTTTCTATCGCTCAGAACATCCCTAGATGACCTTAAAGGTTGGTATGGATTGTTGTTTAATCTTTTTACTGAAATTGTTTGCACAGATAATATTCTTACAGTTCAGTTAATTAGCAGCCATTCACATAATGATAAGTAAAGGAAAAGGAAAGCACCTATATACGCCTGCAGCTTTAATCAGAAAATACGGTTGATTGTTATCTTGACATTGTATCATCCTTGGAGTAATTATAACTCTTGTCAAGAACTTAATTTGCCTAGCTCGTGTATTTATCAGATCGACCATTTAAATCAGGATGATTATGCTGTTCGAAATGTATTGATTTTTGCCAAGTTGCTTTTCTCCAAATTTAAATCAAATCATGAATCAGCCTGTACAGAGCTGGTTTGTGGAGCTCTAGAACTTCATATTTTACACCACGAACTGATCTCGTTTAAATAACTGTTGATAGGGTAGTTAGTATCTAGACTGTTAACTACAATCCATTTATTGTATAAAAATTCAAATCTAATCATTCTTGCCAATGGTTTAATGAATTCAATGTTAGTTGGTAAACTAAACGATAGTCGACTTTTTCTTGAAGATATAACGAATTTCTTACTTATTGGTTATATAACTTATTTTATTCGCAACATTCAAATGATTATGATATCTTACACATATAATACCAAATTCAAATGTACTTTATTTGAATATTTATATGATTTAAACTTGTCATTTATATACAATGTCCTAAATCTAATTTAAAATTTCATTACACTGGTAAGTTGAGATAGTATTTTTTCATTTAAGCTTCAATAATTTGTTTATTTACTTTGATTTGTATCCATTTTCAAGGACATTTATTTAAGGGGGATGGTGGGGATTAACTCACTTAGTTGACAGTATAAAATAAATATTAAAATTTATTTGTAAACAAATAAATAACTGGATATAAACCATGATGAAGATGATTTTAATAGAAGTATAAACGATTTTTTTTTCGAAATTTCCTCTTTTCGACACTAGATTCAATACAATCCTGACATATATATATTTGACCTAATGTCATCTTATGATACAGAGACGGTTAGTTTACTGCTTTACTGGAATGGGAGCTCATTAATTAAAGGGTTTAACTTTCAGACACTAACTTAAAGATTCATCTACATTATTATGGACAACAAAGGCGAATATCATTAAACCTCATATACCATAGTATAGGTTAAAACCTAGAACATATATATGTATAATCTTCAGCTGATTTCTGTTTATTCTTAATTCTTTTTTCTCCCTCAAAAATATTCATTCATTTAAAGAATAGAGGTATTATTTTTATTCTACCCCTAACAAGCACAAATCATTTCACCATCCCATTAATTGAAAGTTAGTTATCAGTGGACTAATAAATAATAACAAACTAAGTAAAGGTGTTATTACTTCATTTTTCGGCAGTCTGATTTCCTTGGTAACATTAAAACTCATTTACCTAAGTAATGAAAAATCTAGACATACACATACTTCTAATATGATTATAATTTATTGTAGGCCGTAGATATGTGTGTATAACTAAATGATAACAGGGTGTTACTGGTTTACATCGCATCCCTCGTACAAAAGTTATAAGCAATACGTATTGATTACTATGTCTAAGAAGTTAAGATTGTGTTTGTCCAAAAACAAGAATATAGATGTGGGGTAAAGAGGCAGTTTTTTTAAGTAGAGAAAAAAATTAATAAACTGTAGTTTAGACTATACCAAAATGTATTCACCTTTGTATCACACATTTTTTTCATTATATGTCCATCTTGGCAAACTCTAAAGTACATGTTTTCTATATAGCTGAATGGGAATTTTTGTGGCTATTTGTTTGTAGTATTTTGTTACACACTGTTCTCAATCAAGGTAACATTGGAAACTAGAGAGAATGATATAGCTGTTTCTTCTTAATATGTGGATCCCTAATATTGCATATCTACCGTCCCACATGGGGTTGAACAAAGTTCTGGTGAAAGTTATGACTGGTTTAGTTCAGACATGTCACAGTGAAACTGTTTTCATCAGTAGTATCAGAAAACCGTGGCATTATAACACAAGTTAAATTTTAAATTATGCTTTTGAACGCCGATTCAATGGCTCTGTTGGCCAAGCGTTCATCGAATGGCCCGAAAGTCCTGAGTTCAAACCCATCGGAAAGTTATACGTGAACATTTCTAAAGAGTCACCTCTTAAGATGAAGAACTTGCCTTGTGTTCTGCTTTCAAGTTTTATATCGATTGAGATCAATTTTTGACGGGTACTGCGTGTGAACATCTCATTTGTTGGATAAAATTAATTTCCCACTTGATTAGTCGTTAGGTTTTGTAATTTGAATGTTATTGTGAGAAAAAAAGATTGAGAAGGGCTGGCTGTTTACATAGTCGCTTTTGTCACTGACTGTGTTTTAGAATCCCATGGGGATATCAGTTTCCTCATGATTGTAATTACTCCTTACTGACTAGTGATAATTAGCATAAAGCCTAGATATTCTACCTAAAACCCTCCGGGGGCCCGAGAAATAATTCACACAAGTTATTAGAAGGTTGCTAAATGGAGCCTAGGCACTACACGGTCCCTTATTAAATCTTGCTTGTCAATTCAGGATAAAAATAAACTTCAACAACGAACCAATTTATAAACACAGAAATTCAGAGAAATTTTACTCATCGAAACTAGGAATTGAATAGATTATTCTTCGTTCCAATGCATTTCATCCTTTAGACTTAACTAATTTGCAATAAGGCGCATTCATCAATGCTAATAATTTATTTATGCAAATAAATGAATTCACAAGTTTTATTTAGATTTAATAATTTTGAATTTTTATGATACATAACTACTAAGTTTACATAAGTAGTTTGTATTTTTAAAACCGAATGTAGATCAAATAACAGTTCTTTCCACAAAATTTAAATATTTATTTTCGTCATTTATTTATTGGTTCATATGTTATTAACAGAATGGGTTTTGTGTAGATCGTAGTAATTTCAAAAGTTGAGATCATGAGTCAGTTGTTTATTTCATCCCAGTTGATAGTCGAAGAGTAATTTCCATTTTAGTATGAAATAAATGTATTCGTTGGTCTTTTCATGTATATAATTAAAATTATCAGTATATTCTGAGTGAACGAAAAAATAACTGAAAGTACTAGATACAGCGAGAACTTGAAACGTTGCGGATAATATCAGCTATAACGACAGTCGATACATGGACACCTATTACATCGTAATTTGAAACAACTTAACAACAACTATCAATTGCAAATAGAAGCTTGAAACATTGGCTACTGAACACTATGCTTATGACAATAAGAATGTTCGAGCCATTCATTTTCATATACCTAGTCTCAGTGGAGAAACATTAGCACAAAATATACAATGATGCGAGAAATTTTTAATTTATGGTAAGTTAATTCGTGAATGTTCAGAGAAAATATGTTTTCTTTTAGAACAGTTGTTCGCTGACCAACCAGGGTTTCATGACTGCACACTGTTAAAGAATCTCACTTAAGATGAGGATGGTGTCCAGTTTTTCCCGGTTCCCACTAGTTAACTAACTAAAGTTAATGCTTAGTATGAAGACCGAAAACTCAAGGATCTACGCAAATCACCAATATAATTAATCGTTGGAAATAAACTTAAAAACACATTATCAATGATTGCACACTGGATTAGAAGATGATATGGAGCTCAGAAGCCGTCGACAATATCTTCAAGATTCCAACTACTGCTTCCTTCGTCTTTTGAAGTGATTTTAATGACCACATTTGTTCATAGTGAAAATAATCCTTAATCTGTGCAAATAAATCATTACAAAACCATTTTTCTACTTTATTTCACATGCACTTTCATTTTTTTTGTTTTTTTCGTGTTGTCAAACTTAGATGCTGGATTAAGTTTAACTGTTGAAGGCATTCATCATAATTATGAGACACAAGAAACTGAATTAGATGTCGCCGTTCATATTGCTTCAAAAGTGAGTGTGTATCATTACATTTATCATTATTATTATTATTATTATTATTATTATTATTATTATTATTATTATTATTATTATTATTATTATTATTATTATTATTATTACTGCTTAAATGTTATTGATATCCCCCATTGTTCACATTTCATTTATTTTTAGAACTATAATTACTCTTTATTTTTGTTGTTACTAAATGCGATAATATGTGAAACATTATGTTACTACCGTTAGCTCCAATTGAGTTGCATTTATCAAGCAATACAATCTAAAATTACAGTTTGAAATATATTGCAACAGAGTCCAAATTTTTTAAAAATATATTTCAATCGTGGCTATCAATGAAATCCAAAACACGTCTTTCATCCTATTTCGGACTTGTCAGTTGAGTGTACCTGGATTCTAATGTTGATGTTCACATTCGAAACTGAATTTATCACTCTTCACTTTATACGTCAATGAATTGTACACTAAGCAACTGAACCTAAACAGATACCATTGTGTTTAACTGGTACGATAATAAAACTTACACCAAAAAGGCTAATTTAAAGAAACTCCTCTCACGAAATTTATTTTTGAAAACTGATCATAATCGAGTCTTGAATATCATTGATATAATAATATAAACATTAATGAGAAGAATTCTAATCGTTCGACATCAGACACTGTTGAAACCAAACCATAACAATTCATCTACCTAAAGTTCATGGTTAACCAAAACTTATCACTGAATCACCATGTTTAACCTTGAATATTAGTTGCGAACTTACCCTCATAATGTAACTGCTAGGGCCGTCGCAAATATAGTCAGATTTTATTAGAAAGGCTAAGATCTCCTCTTGAACAATAACCGCTCCCATATTTCTTACCAATTCGATTTTCCGCATGACCTTTGTCCCCTGATTGGTAGTCATGTTTTTTAGTTCGCTAAATTGCTATGCGCTCGGTCATATTCTACGATTATGGTAACAACTTTGTACCGGTTTCATTTGAGTTCCTTGTTCTGCCATAATATCAAGTTACCTATAATTCCGTTTTCTTCTGATCTTAGCCGTCAAAATTTGATGTGTTGAGCATAATTGACTGTTGTCAGTTCCCAAGAGCACCGATCGTATTAGAGAAGCTCAATCGTTTTCGTTTCTAAGTTCGTAACATTGTAGGCCATACTGAACCCCAATAACAAGGCACAACAGTAACATTAACTCCCATTACAGCTTTGAAGGGTGCACGTTGTTGTATGTAGATGTTACATGAGTTTCCAAGTGGACAGATGCTAAGATCACAGGTTATCTGATTTTTTCTTTCACAAAAAATAGTTCTTTCTATAAGGGATAACCTCACTAACACTTTTCTAATTCATATTTTGGGGTGTTTTTTCTTATCTCACCTAACAAATTATTTACCAAATGTTATGCATACTGACAGAAGTCGATCAACGCAATATATTACAAACCATGAGCTATAAAGTACAAACGCACCTATGTGTATATATATGTATTCATGTTAGATCAGAAAAATATGACTCAGCAATACGGATCTAAACTATAAAAGGGTAGACATCTGAACTATACATACTGTTTATAAAAATAGTACATAATTATGGTGTAATTTTTCAAATCCAAATGGGATAGAAAAATCCTCAAATGAACTGCATTTCAGCAAATTTACTTTTTACATTGTATAATTATCAAATTATAAAATATATATTACAGCATAAAACGAATTTCACTTTTTCCAAGAATTATGCCGACATATTTAGCAGTAGGAGTGTAGTTGGTAAGAAAACTTACCTGACTTGGGTTTTCTACTAATCGACACTCATCAGTAAGCAATTAGTAAAATCTTGACGGAACATGACATTTGTCACTGATTAGTGATTATTCACTTGTACAGTGAACTATGTTCGGTGCCACAGCGATTAAGTTATCCGACTTTCACAGCCATCATGTCTTAGCTTGAAACTCCAGTTTATCTACACTTTAGTTCTGTCAACTGTGTAATATCAGAGTGTGACTTGAAACAAATAAATGCAAGAATCATCTGCACTGAACCTGGTATAAAGGAAATTCAATGGACATAAATTTGAGCAGGTAAAAAACTCACGGAATGAATGTTGATTTTATTTAAAATGCATGTGTTACGGGTGTTAGACAACGGTAACATGTGTTTACAATCGATTGATCACTGAGAAATGACCAATGTACATTAAGTTCTTTTTAGTGCTGATGAAATTCTATCAGTCAAGTCGATATTGGTCACTACTCAGTGATTAGCCAACTTTAAATATGTTTCATTCTTATAGGAGGCCAGTTATGACCGGAATTGGTGAGTGATAACGTCTATAAATGAATATAAAGCTGGGTGACACAGGATTGAATTCGTAGGGAGTATCAGTTTCTTTAAAATTACAGGTATGAGTTCCTGATGAGTGCCAAAATGCAAGAAAACATAAGTCTAGGGTTTCCTGTCGACTACCTTCAACCACCATCTTATAAATGTATAGTAATGATGATGGATGATGGCTAGCAGTGGAATCCAGGAAGTAGTTATCAGGACTCAGTGGCTAAGTGGATAACGTGACGGCATATTAAGCGAACGGCACTTGGTGTGAGTCTCAAGTAGAACGAACGCGCCTTCTGGATCCCACTGCTAGCCACCGTCCATATTTACTTAACATTTATTGTTAAAAAAACACACGCTATGGTCGTTTGACCCTTAGATGCATTAAAAATGTCGTAAGGAGTTTGATAATTCATTGACTACTTTACATAAATTAGAATGAATATTTGATCATTACGTTGTCAGTGCCTGATTTTAAACAAACCAGAAGTTTGGTTGGAAGGGATTTGTGAAGATTCGTTTGATTTGTAGTTTGTGAACATCACAGACTGATCTCATTTCGGAATAATATTAACAAACCAGGTTGGACCGGACAACTGCTTCTTCCTAATAAGGGCTCGTCAACTATGCGTGTTTACAACCTCGATAGACTCCAAAGTGTGGTCCTGTAAGCCTCATTGTGAATAGCTGACCGCTAAAATCATTGAGTCAGCGTTCAATTCCAAATTCAACCGATTCCCAACATGATGAGATGATCATCCAATCCCATCAGTGACTGATTTTCATTGGCACCCCAACTGACGAATACAAGCTACAAATCAATATAAAAGTCCAACGGTTTAGTATTCTACCAACCTTAACTATAAAATATAACTTGTAATCAGTTATCAATCACATTAATTCACCATCATACCTTGTTATCAGCTTTTCTAACTGGTTTACTCATTTCCTCTCTATAATACTTTCAACTAGGTGATCTCCGACAATGTTGCTTGTAGACCAACTTATCTACTTCTAGAATTTATTGAACCGAAAATTGAAACACTAAAGTCCCGAGTATCCAGTAAACAAACAATATTTCGAATTAAACTGCCAAGCAATCAGAAACAAATAAATTTAGAAATGCAATTGTCAATTGGTTCGGCGGATCCTACACAATCTGAAGCCACTACAAATCAATCGATTTCATTCCAGAATCCATGTAAGTTCTAAAGCTAAGTAGGATATTTTAACAGTGTTTTTTTTCATTTAAATAACTAATTGAAATATTGTCAATTTATCCACCGGTCATAACTCATTTCATTGAAACTTCTGTAGTCTATCTTGTCCTGAGAATAATGGGCTGCCTTAATTTGGTTAATAATCGACCAAGGTTGTGATGATTGAGGGCTGTCCAATAGTTAAGAAACAATATTACTGCATATCTATCAGTGATTCCTCGTTTTTCACTTGTAATTTTGACACCGTATTGTATCACACTCTACACTCACTATATTATTCTAAACAATTAGGATGTGTTCTCTTAATCACAAAGAACTCAACAATAAATGAAAAATTAGCGAGACTTGATTTCTAAACTTTAACAGGTATGATTTGAACCAAAAAAGAAAAGAAGTATTTTGAACACAATAATAATGATTCATCTACAGTTCTTACAGTGATTTCAGTTTGACTATTTATTGGAAAGCTCATCAATTGGCATAAATTTATGACTGTCATATTGTTTTAAACAAAGTGTTCAGTACTATAAAAATAAGGTTTACATTATAGGCTATACAGTAATATAATTCAGTAATTATTAATGATAACTTCCTTGACATACTTCAATTCTTATTTTTATTAATTACCATTTATCAATAAATCTAGTTTGTTTATAAATTGAATTATGAACAAAAAAATATTATATAATAAGTATATGTTCTATCAAACTGTATCCAACTTGTTTATGGAATATATAGCAAAAACAGTGTTGAATTAAAATTGAAAATTCACAATGACTATTCGAACATTCATATATATGTATTCATATAATATATATGTGTGTTTTGCGTTTATTACATATAATTAGAATAAAAATCACTCTGTTTTAGATTGTTACCCAGTGATTAAAATACTAACTAACACTTATTCGTTCATATAACACCTAATATCTACGAATGATTTCGTTTGTAATAAGGTGTTTATTACAGTTGTGTGTAATATTATTTTTCTTTTCTTATAAACCAAATGGACTTTTACAATCAGTTTTTTGCTTATGGTTTAAATTATTAACTTTGGTTATGTAATAAAAATAGTTTTACAAATAAAATAGCCTAAATAAGATGTATTTTGCACTGTTCAAATGTCTTAATCTAGGACGATATTCTATATAATTTAGTTTTAACAGGTATCTCAATTGAAACTCATCAGTCATGAATATCTCCAAGAGATATCTTTCTTTTCGAACGCCATACCCTCATTACTACTGACTTTCTTTGAGATTAGTTCCTTAAGTCGTGGTGTAAAGTTGTGACCAGTGGAATTCCGACATGTCTGAAGTAAAACAAACGGAACCAATAGGAGTGAAGAATATTAAAGTCTAATATAATATAATAAATAAATGGTGATCAACAAAAGAATTCATTAACCTGTTCATCATTTATTGTTTGTTTTGCACTCATCTGTTAAAAAAAAGCAACAACACTGATCAATATATCATTATATTATATATATTCTTTTTAAACCCAACTATCGTGAATAGTGTAATCCCTTTCATTTGGTTTTGTCTATTTTTAACTTTCTCTGTAGGTCCTGTTGTTTCTGCTGTTTCTATCCCATGCTTATTGTATATTAAGTGAACATTTAAAACCTGATTAGATATCGTTTGCGTGTATGTGTGTCCATATATCGTTGTTTGTTTTGTATAGTAAAGAAGGGAGGGTAAGGGATTAACTGATGGTATGTTGACAACTGCCATAAATAAGTTTTTTTATATACAGAAATGTTTATACCACTTATGCAGTATTCAGATATTTTATTCTTGTGATATAAAGGAAACTTATAATCGGACTAAGTTATTATATGTTTAATTACTTAAGTCTTGTATTAGCTTCCAATGGTTTTCCGACTGATTCCACTGAATGACATGACAATTTAATCTTCCTTGTTAAGCGGCAATTTATAACCATTAATTCACTTTGCACTGAGATAATGCCACAAAAGGGATGAGCTTTATTTGACCCAACTTAGATAGCGGCTAGGATTGGAATCCAGGACTCTGACTCATAAACTGGATATACTTGCATCATAATTTTGATGCTCAGACTGAAACTCGAACCCAGTATTTTTCTTTTTAAACATCAAGGTTTAAATCACCGAGCTTCTGAATCTAGAAATACACTAACTTGTACAATGGATTTGTTATAATTATGTGATATTTTTATGAGCGCAATATATTTATTTGAATATTCTCGGAACGATTCATCATTCACCTTGATCACTTGATTATTTTTTATCATAATTAATGGATTAGTGAATTATTAATTATCTGGGGAAAAATCATTGTCTTATTCGCTAAAGATTTTTGAAACATTTATTGTTGTCCGAATGGTAGGAGTTTAGTGATGATTGATTTCATTTGTAGGTTGTATTCATCACAAATTCGTCTCAATTAAGATACCATTAATGACTAGGTAGTAGTGAATAACGTTTAGTACAAAACTGGGAGTTCTCATGTTCGGTCCCTGACCTAGTTGTGAATTTTGACTCCTGAGGAGTTCCATATTAAGACGGAAAAACAATCCACACACCCCCCCTGCGATTTCCAATGGTATCTCAACTGAGACCAATCTGTAATGAATACAATCTGCAAATTCACTATAATTATCACCATCACTAAAATAAACCGAGAAAGTTAAAATAACAATTTATGGTGATTATTTTTTGATAAATTAATGGTTCATTCGGTTAGCATTTTAAGAACATCACTGACTAACATTTACATGTCATGTCTTTCATGTGAAGGAGGGAAGAATAATCAACTTTTTTTTCTTAGATTTACTTTTGACTCGAAGATAGAAAATAGTTTAATCAAACGCTTTACCTATAGAAACCCCACAGGGACAGAGTAACATCGAAGTTACTATGACTATTGTCCAGTCCATTACAAACCACATTATATAAAGGGTTTATTTAATAGAAATTGAAAATATTTGCATAAACTTTACTACTAAAGATGAAGAAAAACTATTAAATAAAAATATTGATGCAAAATGGATATCCTACAAAATTTATGAACCGATGAACGGCGTGGTTGTTATGTTGAAACCTATTATGCTTGGCATTCAGCGGTGAAAGAAATGAAGCCATCCAAGTTAATAATGGGAAAATAATCCCATATGATGATGGTATTTAATCACGACCAAATTAAGACAGTAATTACAACTACTGGATATCTGAATTTTAGGATTTTAACTCAAAGAATTGAAAATACCGAACTTATCATATGACTCGGATGTTCTGGCCTCAACTCCTGACAGTATTCAGTCGTAATTGAGGAGGTTGGAGCTAAGACGAAATCACTGTCTCATGTTTCATGGTTTTTAAAAACATCCCCAAACAATATCGATCCGTAAAAAATACCACATATATAAAAGAATATTACGCCAATGTCACAGATTCAGAAAGCAAGATTGAGTTTTCCCAATTTGCGGTACATATTGCCTAAGTGAGATGTCCGTTCGTCATCGTCGAATACACAGCACAGCATTCTCTTCTATATTACTTTATGACCATGAAACATGGTCTGTGAAAGTGAGAGTCATTCATACACTCCAGGTTTTTGATAATGGGTGTCTTCAATGCCACGCTTGTTGATAATGGTGCAACCGAATGAGCAATCCTTTAATTAATCATAAGATAATACGCAAAGATATCAAATGGGTTGATAAGATTGTGAATGTTGATCGGCATACTATGTATGCCTAACATCCATCTGCACTAACCGAGGATGTTAACTGGTATAGGAGTGATTCATTATAAATCTAAAGGTGGTTAAACAAAAAAATGACATCAGTTTACGATGTCACTGACTGTTGGTCCGAACCATTTTAATGGATGGAGATTAACTGGTCGAGATTCGCGTGATAACTGTAATCAGTGATTGTGGATGTCAAGTGACATAGTTCAGTTCCGACTACAATTTAAAGTAACTTTTCTTCCATTCTTTTGGCATCCATCTGCATTTATTATGACGGACTAGTCAACCGATAGTAGTCAAATTAATCTAATAGACCCATCGATAAACACATAATCACTTATTTGAATCATATTTACGATGAAAATATACTATTTTGGTATTGAAATATTGTTTATCTATATTCATTTAGTGTTTATTCACCAAATTCTTTGTCTTCATTGTTATTCCTTTCATTTTTTGGTTGGTATGACGTAAACTAGAACTTCTGTTTTCATTTTTCTTTTCATCAAATGCTTTCCTAATGTTCTCTATCCTTTTCTATCAACCTGATGTTGAATATATATGTCATAGATTTTTGAAGAGCGGTTCGTTTTTGCTTTTTATGTACCCTGAATATTCTTGAAAAAGATGAATAAAATATATCACACTGATCTCCACATACACACAAATAGGCACACCAAAGGGAAACGAAATATCTGTAGGTGTAAGCATTCCTGTGCTTTTCTGTAAAACACTTCAATACACCCAGATATCAGACAAGAAGAAAAATCTAAGTTCTATATGCAACATGATACGTTTCAACAAAGTAGAGCATTTCGAATGTTAACGTATACATAATGTTCAAAAGACACAATTTCTTCTCTCTTAAGCTGAATATCGACTGAAGTTAAGAAAGGGTTGAATAATTGTTTCGTCTTAGTACGGGACTCCTCGGCCGTACTCGCGAGACTCGAGATCCTTAGTTCAATCTTCGACAGGGTTCCGGTTGCGCGCTATTGAGGAGTCTCCTACTTAAAGGAAATAGCTATCCAATAATTCCTGATTTTAAATGGATGTATGTATAGCTTAGCTTGATTCATGATATCGATTACATTCAATTATCTCCACGAAAGCATATACTGATTAGCCTTGTTTTGTTGCGTTGACTTTTACTGAGCGATACTAGCTGGGACTCTCTTATGCGTTGGGAAATGTTCCTCAACAAACAGCCCATGTTCTTACCTTTACAGATGCAGGTGAATAAATAAGTGCAGAATTCAGCATATATTAATAAAGGATGACGCAAAGTTTAAAGTCGTTTATTCTGTGGAACAGAAATGATCATGGCCATACCGTAACGAACTCAGCATTCACAATCATTTATACAATCAAACGGAATATATCCTTATTGTTCGTGTATGAAATTATTAGCACACCATAATTAATTGTAGGTAGTAATGATATCTTTATGAAACAGTGCTAAGGCAATCACGAGATTACTCAATCTTTCTTAATAATGTTAAAGTCTTACATTTTTGTGACTCCAAATGTCTTTTTTAGTTTGATTTTATGTATGATCATTCCCCTTCTCAAATTTTCTATCGATATTTTTGGTTCACTAATTTTCTGTATACTTGAAAGTTGGTCACACTTTTGTTGCTAAATATATGCAGTTGTACCATCTCAATTTGTTCCGATACTTCTCGTTCTTCTTGCTTTTCCAGTCAATTATTTAAGTGTTGTGTGTCAGTTGCTGTTATCGAGTCCACAATAGATCAATTCATATTAAAATAATTGAATCGTCCTTTAATTCCTGAGTATGGTAGACCAACCTGAAACCCCAGTAGACATAATCAGCTCTATCCAAGGCGTAACAAATAGTTTGTACCAACGATGAGCCTTAGATTACTCACCATCAATTTTTCGAATACAAGTGTTTACCAGAAATTGATTACTTTTCATTGAATTGTACCTGAAATCCCGTACACTATTGAGAAAACATTCTCATTCTACTTTCAAACCAGCTAACTAACAAACGATGAATTTTATTAGGCATTGAATAATTTTATTCAAGTTGGAGCACTAAATTGTGCCATTCGCATCAAATTAAAGACCATTATAAAGTTCTTGAATTAATGTCCTAGCCAGTAACTAAGACTTCATTGAAGGAGTGTTAGTTATTCGATTGATTACAGAAACCTCTTGCTTACGAATGCTTGCTAACATGAAGCTATAGTATCTGCGACCCTACTGTTTATGCTTGGAAAATGGGAATTACTCGAATTCCTACGACGTAAAGTAAAAATATAAGAGACTGGTATGGTGGTGTATTGACAACTCAAAACACAAACCCAAAACAATTCGTTCTAAATCACCTTCTCATTAAACTAATCACACTTATTGACATAATGTATTTTATGCACTTGATTAGTTAATAAACATCTTATAAACGAAAAAGTACTCATAGTTACTATAAAGACACATGAAATCCACACACAAATAAAATAAAGAATTTAATTATCACACTGGATGGAAGTTCACACTTTTATCTGGATATGAGGTGAAATTGAAAACAATCAAACAAAAGCACTGAAAAATAGGTTTCTTTACTAGTTGACACTCGCTAGCAAAGTGAAAAAACTTACTCTATCCTTCAAAATTTAATTGCTAGCACTGATTGTCACATACTGAAGCGTTAATACTGAGCTTTATTGGGACAACGACTGATCTTCGTACAGAACTGAGTTGCTGATTAAATATCATCCAATTTCAAGTTTGTCTACTTATTTTAATTTAGTGGTCGAATTCTACTGATCTTCTTTTTTTCCTATTTCTTCAGTTTACATTCCTACTGATATTACAGTTGATGCGGAAAATCAATTAATGCAATGGTTTGGGCTGCCAATAATTTTCAGTAATCTCCTTCATCATTATGAAACTAAATTATCTGGTCTACCAAAAGCATGTGAACAGGCCAGTGAATTTAATTTACCAATTACACAACAAGAAATCGGTAAGTCATGTTTTCTTTTCATTTGTTGGCAAACATTTAATTGGTTAAAGGATAAGAAATGCGTACATTTATGTCAATACAATATTAATGCCTCATGATTAATCAATTGGAGAACCTTTGTCAGCTATAAATGAATAATTTTCAAGTTAAAAAATTGAAACATACTTTTTGATAATTTTGAGTGAATTTTGATCAGTCTTTGTCGGGATAGGTATTCATCTTGTGTGGATTGCCTTGATATAGCTATTATCATAAGTTTGTATAGAAGAGATGGATTTTTGGTTAGAAATGGCATTGAGTGAATGTGATTTTTTCTGCGAATAAAGACTGATCAAAATTTAATCGAAATTTTTAACAACGAGATAATTTAAATCCAAACTAATAATGAGGAATATGTATTTTAAAGCTTATTCTTTCATTAATGACTGATATTAACCGATGAACCCTTGAAAAAATAACAAGAATCATTGTTTGTTAGATATATAGTCCCTCAATTCAAGACACCTCAGCAACAGAACAAAACCTATATTTTGGGATAAAACAATGAGCATGGATAATGTACTAGGTAAAGTTGGTAATTCAGTTGATAAGGTAGTAAATCTCCACTAACTGGGGTGGTTGGGAAAGTCCACCTCGATTGGCTATGTTGTCCGGTGTAGGATTAGGTTAGAAGAAAACTAGTTACTGTCAAACCACAAAATGACATCAGTTCATGAAGTTAATGGTAGTTGGAGTGAATCATGCTAACATCTCTAGACTACTTGGTTTAGGTTCACATGATAATCATAACCAGTGTTTAGAGACTGTGAATGATATATTTCAAGATCCTTTACAATTGTGCAAGTACGTACATTTATTGTCCTCTCCCAGATTCGATGCTTCTGAATTCTTCATAATTATTATTTTTCTTATTTTACTAATTTATATTTTTTTGGACCTTATCTTTGATGTCTAGCCTTTTCTATCGCCATTGATACTGTCACTACTTCTACTATTATGGGATTTCGCCTGACAATTTCATCTGTGCTAATGTAATAAGGCAATCTGAACCGATGTATATTTTTATTTGTGATTAATTAACTTCCAAACAGTTGAAATCTGATTTATTTCAGAATTAAACTCCAGATACAAGATATTCACATAGAATATAGTTCTAATTATTATTATTTAGAAAAAAATTAAAAAGTACTCAACACTAAACAGTATTGTCAAGCATTGTCCAAAATATAAAGATTTATGAAGTATATAATAAATATATGATATGTATTTACTGTGCATAGATTACAACTCTCCCCTCTTTCTCTCGATTATCACGAAGGTCTCATGGTCTTCTATTGTTCAAGTTACTATAATTCATATTATAATTACTATTATTATCATTATAATTAATATTATTTATTGGTTACCAAGGTAACACTAATGAAAGTAAAGGTACGCAATAGACTAACTTGATGTCCAATATTTAAGTGTAAACATGGAATTGAAGGGTGAAACCAAGGTGTCCATCCAAATTATTGTTTATTATTACTTCACAATGATGCATCATTAAAAAAAATTTCTATTTTCTTTAAAATAACTAGAGATTAAAATAATTCAATAAAATAATAATCATGATAACATGATAGTAATCACTGATTGCATACCCTTTTTTAAAATTGTATTGTATTGCGTTCTGTTAGTAGAAGTAATGCACACAGGATTATCGCAAAGATTAATAGAATAGAAAGGTGTGTTTTTTGGTCACATTGTATTATTCGACATTGAATAATCAAAATAAATTTAAGAGAAGGCAATCAAATCATTATGAGTAAATTAGTTGTTAACTTGTCAAATGTATTACAATAAAAAAGATTCTTCAGTATTCAAATAGTTTCGATATTATCCATAACAATAAGACAACAATTATGTGATTTCATGAAAATTTACATCATTGAATGGATGAATAAATATCATTCAGAGAAGATCTGATATTTCTACTTTCCTACTTATGTAAGATTTCAAAATTTCGAACATAGGACTGGGACGAAACTACCACCTTATGCGGTTGCAAGTTTTTAAAATCGAATGAAAAGAAAGCTTTTCTAAACATTGTTTATTTATTGTTTGACAGATAGTTCCCATTTAAACATTAAAATTAAAACATGAATTTCAGCGAAGGGATCTCTTTTCAACGAATTTATTATCAAGCAGTACAATAGTATATATATGAAAGTTTTTATAAAAGTACTAATTCTGTGAGGAAATGTGAACACAGTTAATAAAAAGGTTATAATACTAGATTACGTAATATGAATAATAATAATAACAATAGATTTAGTGATTATAATAAGATGATTAAGATGTTTTTCTTATAATAATTAAAGGTCATAGAGGTGTAAAAATAAATAAATAAATAAATATGGTGATTTGATGAGTATTCACGAATAAAACAATGAGAATATAAGGCATAAGTAGAGGGGGGGAATGCAGTAATAATAAAAATAATAATTGGATAATCAAAATGCTTAAGGCTAAGGTAACGATAACGATAAGACGTACTTCTTTTGTACGCATAGTTCTGGTTTAAGCTCCTGGATGGTAAGAGCTTCGGCGAAGAAATCTGAGTAGATTTGAACAAACCATATTTATTGTTTACCTTTACAAAAATGTTTGACCAAATCTATCATTAAAACTCCGTAAGGCATTTGTATTACACTTCAGATTGTATAAGTTTAAACTTAATTGCATTACACTTCACTGAAACATTGAGAATGAAAAATATATGTCAGTCAGTGTAATGTCTCGCATAAAATATTATGATACTTTGGCATAATAATAAAATGTAAATTTGGTAGGAGACTTTGATAAATTATCGAAAAGGTTTTCAGAAGCTGACAATACATCGAGCAGACAACGTTCTCTAGCATCTTTCAAGAGAATTCTGAAGAATGACAAATTGGACAATTTTAATATGCTGTTCACATGCTTTCAAAATATCAAATTTACACGTAATCCTATAAATATCGTTGATACTTTACATAAAGTAACTTGTTGAGAAAAGCATATCTCATATTTCTCGCCTTCTTGTTTTCGTTCGAGATTGAATAATGGAAGAGTTCTGGCAATTAACAAGTAATTAGGAACCGGACGTATAAAAAACGCTTTAGTGATAACAAATATATCAGTTCACATTTGTCAATTTATTTCTTAGTTAGCTAGTTAGTCAAACAAATCCAATGATTTGAACCTTTATTGTAATATTTGCGCAGCTTGAAGGAATTTAAGTAACAAACACCCAGTAATATTTGATTGTAACTCAAATTGTTTGTTGTCATTAGATGTCCAAAGTTACTATTTGTTAACAATAACCCTTTGTTTTCTCTTAGATCTTCAGTTTCTCAATGTTATCGCATATTTTCCATTTCACGAATGTGTTCTTTTATTGTTTAGTAGTATTGCTTATCACTAGTGTTTTTTTACCACCACTGTTACTACCGCTACAAATATGACATGTGTTAGTGATTTCATCTGATGTGGTATGGCAACTTGAATTTATGCACATATGGGTTGCTTTTGGCTATGCTTTACCTGTGCTTTCGGTAAAATTTGAACCGGATTTTTTTAATAATTTAACTTAATCCGTTTTCAGGGCAGAACAAAAAGAATAACACAGTTTTTTACTGTATCTAAGTTACGCGATTCAGTCAAGCATAATCAAAATGCAATCTGGCACAAATGTGCATTGGTTCAAATCGTTTTGTACTAGATTGGTACGGCATAATGTAACTGATCAGAGGAGTCTAAGTAAATGTAGTAGAAATTATACTAAGAAAACCAAACATTAAGAATATGGTTCGAGCAGATAGAATCTAAATATTTATACGAACAAATATTGGAACTCAATATTTTCAGGAAAACAAAAAATAAGTGCAGCCGCACCGCTTTGGCCGAATTCTGATCCATTCCAATCCATGTCTCCAACTACTGATCACGATCATCGAGTTGAACTCAACCAGATAGTTTCTAGGTGTCTACGTGCATTAGACCAGCAATCGACGACTTCAGAGACTGACTCTAGGTTTTGTTTTGGTAATCCCCTAGCTTTCTTTCATTCTACTTCTACATCGACTAACATTAGGCATCGAGACGGATCATCGTAAGTTATAAATGACATATGTCCTAATCACTTCAGTTGATGAAAATTCCTAACCCGTCAACTGATTTACTATCTTTGCTCAATATCTTATGCCCAATCTTTCCGTGGCTCATTTTTGTGTTAAATAAGCTGTCCTATGCAAAATTAATAACTAAACTATCTTTAAGATATGTTTTTCTTCAATCTCTACTCTACTATTTCAGATAATGGGACAATTTACAGAGTTAATTTAAAAAATATACCTGATCCAACTATCACAAAAAATGGATTGGCTATTGATTATACTTTTAAAGTAACACCGGTATTTAAGGGCATAGAGGGGAAATCCATCACAATGGGGACTTCATCTGACATTAAGTTTTCAATAGGTCGAATGGGTTAGTTGTATTATTATTATTATTATTATTATTATTACTCTTGGTGATACTTATAATAACTTATAGGGTCATATTTAATGAAATTAGTTCCCGTTGATAAACTTTTATACAGCAATAACAACAAACATTGTAGGATAAAGTGACTTCGTTCCAATCCATGTTCTTCTGCTAAATCGTTCACATATTCATTGATTTGTATAAATAAAATATTGTACAAATGTAATTTTGCACGTAACATGTATAACTCGCTCTTAGTTCATTAATTACAACAGATTTGAACAGTTATATGGTGTATGTTTACTGTGTTGGGCGGTTGTTCGAGTGTCACATTGATTTATAACTTTTCTGTATGCATACTTAACCGACTACTTGAGTTGGGAAACCAAGAGTAGGAAAGCCTTGGTCTTGTTTAACTGGATCAAATATGTGTATAAACTCATGACATTAATTTGACCAAGTGTCGCTCAGCAAAACAACCTAGATTTTTAACTAATAGTGCACTACTCCTTAAAATCTTGACCTACGACGTGCATACATCAGCACCTCTCATGTATTATTTGGCCTTGAACCAATATATCCAATTGATCAAGCGCAACAATATTTGCCCTGCTCCAATTTACAAATATGAAAGGGAATCACGAGTCGATCTAAGTCAGATAGCCGTTGGAAACCTGGAAGCACTGAACTTTTATTTCGTCCTAGTATGAGACTATTAAATGGTGTTCTCCCATGATCTCGCAACCAGGAATCAAACAAAAAGACTCTCGGCATCGCACGATAACGCTTAACCTCTAGACCCCTGAGCCAGGATCTAACGGTGTGCATACCTAATTTAAATTAATGCACGATATTGCACGGTGACCTTTCACTGTCTTCGATGGATACCTTTCCTATATGCGATACGATTGAACTTCACTGATCATGGCTTAAAGTAGGCGAATAGAATTAAATTGGAAGTTGGCACTACAAAATAATAGGGACGTAATTGTAACAGTGAGGATGATAATAATATTCGTAATAACAGTAATAAAGGATGATATGAGAAATACAATTATTTGGTTGTCTAAATCGGTAAAAAAAAGGGCGTCATACATTTTATTAAATAATGCTAATATAATATAAACAGTTATAACAATAACCATAATTTAGAAATATAAGTTTGATCTAAAAGAACAATGAAAGGTGTTATTTTGTGATCACATAAAACTTGGGATGGATGATATAAAGTGTTTATAGATCATAAAAACAAAGCAAAAGACCCTCCCAATTTTTCAAACAATTTTCTTTAATTGAGGCCAAAGGATAATAGTAAATGGATCTATATCAAAGAGTTAGGTGGAATAAAAATTTGTCTTATCGCACTCACATTAAGATAAAGATGACGACTAATTACAGCGTCTAAGTAACGTAGAAGCTTGTCATTCTTCTGTCTATATATAATACAAAATATTTTACTACGATCTACTGATGCGTACCCATAATATGTCTGCCATTGGTGCTGATAGCTAGTTTCAGGCCCTTAGATTGACAGATTTCTTTTTGTGTGTTTTGTGACATCCTTCTTCAAGTTTATCAATTCAGCATTTTCAAGAATCTATAAAGCACAATGAAAACTTCAGTGTGTTGTGATTTCTGGAATTCAGCTTTTGTTTTATGGACTAAAGTGAACAACACAGTACGGAAGGTATTCCGTTCAAGGTATGCAGGTGTGCATCAAATACACACTTGCCAATTGGACATACTATCAAAATATGTTTCCTTCCTCTCGTGAGACATGAAAACAGTATTGATTGTCTTTTTAACCTTGGATAGTATTTAATGAGCAATTGTTCTAGGTTGGTTTCACTCAACTTTTCTAGAGTATTTTCTTAGTTAGCTTTGCACTTATTGGATTTTTTCTTCTGCTACAACAAATCCACAAGACGAGGAAGCTGTACAATTTTTATACCCGAACTATTTTAAACCATTTTGTCCATGGGAAGGCAGTAAACCTGGACGTATTGATTGTGTGAGATACATTCTGCTTTCATCTCTTTACAGTCAAAACCTCCAAGTTGCTCTCTTACTTCAAGCTTTATACTTTCGGTTTTACTAGTCCCTGACCGAATCAGTTTAACATGCCAGAAGATCATGGAACAACTACCTCAGATAATAAATATTCATTGAATATTCAAGATTGTACAGAGAAACCACTTTTGTGAAAATATCTCGTCCTATTTGTACTGATGCAAAGTGTGGGGAATTGAAATGATGCACATTTGTACCATGTGCTACATTGTCTATCATTTAATATTTGCTTGATACTAATATATCAAATACTAAGTGAACTAGAGTATTTATGTGTATTCCTGCTATATTTTGCTTTATTTTTACTCCACTCAAGGTCAAACTGATCTTAAAGCGCCCACATCCGGTCGATATTATTCACTACAAGTACAAGTTAGACCAAGTCAAATGCCAAGCTGTCTTAATTTAGAAACACTGAATACTCAGTTCACATTAAGAGTAATTGGTGAAGTGAATGAATATCCAGATTATATAAAACAGGTGAATTATGTACCGATTACAATGAAAACAACTGAACCATTAAGTGATAAAAATAATCATGTGAAATTATATAAAATTGAAAATTTACTACCTGGCCGGCGTTACGAACTTCAAGTGAGTATGTGTTGTGAAATAATCATAAGTTTTTCTGTCCCTCAGTTTGCTCACATCTATTATATACTACCTATAGCTAATGCATTTAGGTACGTCCAGCTGACGGAACGCACATCCTGGATCCTACTGCTAGCAACTATCCATCTCTGTTTACTTATAGCTAATAGTTATCGTCAGTAATGACATTTATATCAGTTAGTGAATTGATTATCTTGATACAGTATTATTTCACAAAGACTGAATAATTACAGTTCAATTACAAATGATTACAACTATCTTCACACTCTGTTGAATAAATTAATGGATATCTAGACTCAGTAGCCAGATGTTTGATGCGAAAGCTACTGGGTTAGAATCTCCGTGTGAAAGTTAACACTGAAGGACATAGGTCCATCCAGCTGACAAATCATAAGTAGGGTAAAACGCGCCTCGTAAATTCTACTGAAAACCAAATACCAAAATACTCAAGAAATAAATGTATTTTAAAGTTAAATGTCAAAGACATTTCAGCCGTTAACACATAAACCATGTGAATTAAAAAGGAAAAAAGAAAAAACCTAATGAATGTTCTCTTCTTTAACACTTTAAAGAAAATCTGATACGACTATCGAGTGGTTAATGTGTATGTGTGTGTTAAAAAACGTTTCATTATATTCGTTAAATGTATTGACTTCATCGACATTTGAGAACTTGTATTTGTTCCTTCTATATTTTACGAATGAGATGATTATTTTTTCACATCTCTTAATATCTTTCCAGACTAAAACAACACTACTTAAGAAATAGGCGAAGATTAATGACCTTGTTATATACATATATATATTACTGCATTTTATCACCTTAAACTATTTGCAATAACATGTATTTTTGGCAACTCTGGACCTAGGTTTCATGCCAGTCTGCACTAGTCAGCAAAATATACATGAACTCTTAAGGTAACTGACGCTCGAGTCGAATCCAGATCACCTTGATTTGTCAGTACAAAAATCAATCGGTTGTCAAGCTAAGATCACTCTGTAATATAAACTATGATATTTTGTAACCCACGAAATCTCCCCATAGTAATAATAATCGTGTGTTGACTAGTGACTAGTTTCAAGTAGCTGTGAACAGTGAAGCCTAATTATGTCGAGTGTATAACAGTTGCACACCAGTTGCATTGGAAGATGATCGTACAATATTGCAAAATCGACTGAAGTTAGATGGGTAAATCTTTTGATTATATGGATCCGGTGATCTAAAGAACTTGCAGTTCTTGGGTTTAATTTTCAGTGGTTCCGTGTATGCTCACTGTTTAGCAGTCCTATAGTAGAAAGAAATAGGTATCCAGTGTTTTCTTGTTTCCATTGATTGTTTAATGAGGTCATTATATAATGAAAATAACAAGTCAATTCATGAAGTAAACGAGAATAATGAACTTCAAGGTGTGATTTTTCATGGTAAAACATAATTTGATGTATTGTAATTCGTATTTTATCCTGCAACACACAGTTAACCGTTCCCACTCTCTGTATTAAACATAACATTTAGGATCAATTATAGGATCAAACCTACTTGTACAAACACAACAATATATAAGGTCACTTTATTTGTCGAGGACCCTAACTACCTTTACATTTGATTTCGTAATTATTCTTTGCCGTTTTTTATCTTTAAGTTAAATGTGATCTCATCTGTTTCAGTTGACTACAATCGAATATTTCTTAAAAAGATTTGCTAATTTCACTAAGTTGTTATTATTGCATATCATCACATCAAACCATTCACAATAACAATTATCTAACCACATATACTTGTGTTTCTGACGTCTATTCTTTGCTCACCGATGACCAGCTTCAAGATCCAACTCATGGATTTCAAGTGAGAAGCCATAAATATTGGAGTTACAAATTGATTGAAGTTAGACATTAACACTATTGAATGCCGGCTCAGTGGTCTAGAGGCCAAGTGTTCGCTTGCCAGGCCAAAGATCTTAGGTTCGATTCCTGGATGTGGGGGTCTTAGATGTGCACTGCTGAAAAGTGCCAGTGATAGAACGAAACAGCCTTTCAGTTTTTCCGGGTTTACAAATGTTGTATAGATAAGATCAGCTTGTGATTCGATCTTCCATTATTCTCTTATCCGTCTAATGAATCATTTGTTAAGTTAAACTAATTCCCTCCATAAGTATAAACTGCATTTCACGACTCTCATTGATTATGCACGTACATTTTGACAAATAAATGAACTTGCTCATGGTACTGACTATTTAATAGAAATACAATTTTGAATCTTTTAAAAATAAGTTCATCAAAAAACTTTTCACTGTTTGAATATCTTTTTCCCCTAGTTATTTAGTGACCTACAATAAAATCCATAAAATGAACTGAACATCTCAGTATGTAACACTGAGAAATTCAGACTATACCATACTCGTACAAACACTGTCATTGCTAATATTAAAAACTAAAGCTCATTGATCACTGAGCGTTGATTAGTATCATGCTAGTCTAGTTTTCTTAGTGGTAATCAAATTCTTTTGATAAAGTTACGATGTGACCACTTCTTGGATCGAGTGAGGGACATCATTCCCTTGGGATTAAGGTACACATTACTGACGATGAGTGTCAACTGGTATGAATTGTAGATCAAACAGCTTTACCTATGCAATACGTTCAGCCGCCTAACATAAAAAATTACGTCCGTTTCTTTATTTCGGTCAGATCATTTGTGATTCAGTCAACATTTCAGTTTTTCCTAATAACCAATGTATAAACTGTTTAATACATTTAGCTATAAATTTTGACAAAAGTTCATTCGACACTTTACCATTCATCATTTATATTTGGGTTAAAAACATTTTCCCCTTTGAACATAAGAATATTTATGTGCATACAATCTTCGTTTATGATTCATTCATTCGAACGTTTTGTTTCAAAGCCACCTTGAAAATGTCAAACGCCAAAGTTACTTTTGAATATCTCTTCCCATAATTTATTAAACTTCTTACTGTTTTCATAACATATCTATTTCTTACACTGAATACATTTTGAAGGTTAAAAATTCTAACCGATAAAAGTATGATTCATTTAAACGACCACATATACTTCTTTCCAATACTTTATTTTCATAGATTTACTGGGAATAGAAGTCAGATGCATTAAAAACCGTCATTTCAATTGAACCTACTGAACTATTTAATAGTAAATTTCACAAGTTGAAATCATGAGTCAGTTGAAGCTAGACCACCATTGAAAACCTGGAAGCACTGGACGGCCGTTTCATCCTAGTATGGGACTCCTCAGCAGTGCGCATCCACGATCCCGCACCACGCGGGGCTCGAACCGAGGACCTACTGGCTTCGCGCGCGAGCACTTAACCACTAGACCACTGAGCCGGCATCCAACGGTGTTAATGTCTAACTTCAACCAATCCACGAAGTTGCGCCACGTACACCATTGTCCTCAGTGAGTTGTTATCTCACAACAGACCGGTTGAACTCCACTGGTAACGGCTTCTCACTAGAACTCCAGGAGATTTTCCTGAAGTCAGTCACTAGTGAGCAGTTGATTATAATCAGAATGGGTTTTTGTGGAGAGTTTAACAAATTTCACAAGTTGAAATCATGAGTCAGTTGAAGCTAGACCACCATTGAAAACCTGGAAGCACTGGACGGCCGTTTCATCCTAGTATGGGAATCCTCAGCAGTGCGCATCCACCATCCCGCACCACGCGGGGCTCGAACCCAGGACCTACTGGCTTCGCGCGCGAGCGTGGTGCGGGATGGTGGATGCGCACTGCTGAGGAGTCCCATACTAGGATGAAACGGCCGTCCAGTGCTTCCAGGTTTTCAATGGTGGTCTAGCTTCAACTGACCCATGATTTCAACTTGTGAAATTTGTTAAACTCTCCACAAAAACCCATTCTGATTATTTAATAGTAGTATAGATTATTTCACAAAATATTTGATAATAAGCTGTTGCAAAGTCGATTTCGAACTAGTATGCTTACGATACAACCTGGATCAATAATGCTGTGACGATACATACTGTTTATTCGTATACTTAGAAACTTGAAAAAAGGAAATGAATGCTAACACATGTAGATGTTGACGCTAGAAGTAGGATATTAAAATTTCTCAGCCACTGAACAAAGTCATGAATAGTTGGTGATAAATGTTGTTTCAGTCCCCGCTAACATTTCATATTGTCATGTTGCATCGCTGTAAAATGTTGTGTAGTTCATCCGTCACATTAAGCATAACAATTTTTCTTACACTTATTATCGTGATGTTTTTAAAAAATTGGTCAAAACTAATCACTCGAGAAGATTGTTAATCAATGAATATTCTAATATTCGAAGTTCCTCATTTTGTCTGAGTCTTATAATTTCCTTCTTTTAAAACAAGTTTTGGAAATTTGATGAACGTTTTCATTTCATCGTTTATCAGAAGCGACTAAGTCTCGGCTACATTTTTACTCTTTTATCAAGTATACATTTGTGTACTCACCTTCGAGCTACCTCCTTCTTTTTGATTGTTAGTGGCACTCCCACATCAACTGGCTGATTCGAAGTAAGTGATCAAGGACTTAAAAATGTGACTTGTAAGTTAAAAGTTAAACACTTCAACTAGTAAACCAGCGCTCCATAAAATTCTAATTATCGTCTCTAAGCAAATGGTAAATGTTTTTCTTTTACCTGATTCGTAATTGAACGTCACATGTCATTATGTTATTAATTATTTTTTATTTCATATGTCGTTTGTTTTAAATTTCGAAAAAACAGGCGGAAGTTATTTATACAGAAGATTTCAGAGATAAAATTTCCGAACCTGTCCGTTTTTGGATAGAAGATGGTAGGTTGATTAAGATGAGCAATTAACTTTTTTCATATATATATATAAAACACCTGAGAGAAAGTTTCCTACTTCAACCCTGAGAAAAAAACTTAATTCTGTGTTATTTTCCGTTATGGTTTTTCTTAATGCATATATGTTGACTTGTTCGCCTTGTAACTGAAGACGTTGTAGAATTTACATTTATCTAATTATTAAAATATCAAATGTACAGTAATATCATTATGTTTGTAAAATTTGAATTCTATCGGCTTTGATAAATACAAATTGACAGTTATGACTTGTTCGGTAACTAATTGTCAAAAACTTCTAGCCTTATGTGTCATGCAAAAACATGACGTAATAAATTAAAGTATTATCTGTAAGATTTTGTAGTGTCTCGTTCTAGACATTCAGAACTGAACTATTAGCTTATGAGACCCTCGAATGAATGCTTTGATATTATCTAAAATTTGAGAGAAATAGGAGGCACGAGTTGTTTTTTCTCTGCACTCATCATACTGGGATGTAAATACATGGAGTTGAATAAGTTTTTTTAAACAAATGTTCGTAGTTAGTGTTCTCGTATGTTTTATGAATCTGTAAGTTATTCTCGTCATTTGAGTAGATTGTAGTTTTAACAGTAAAATTTCAAGTCCTCACCTAACAACAGTTCACTTGGGATCGCTTAGGTGAATTTGATCTCAAAGGCAATAACATAAATCTGTACGTTCTAAACTAGTTAAGTTATTTCTAATAAGTAGTAACTCGTTATCGACTTCGATTGGTCGAATCATACAACTGAGTAGTTAAATTGAGTATTTGTGATTTAATAATGGATGACCGAAATTAATCATCATGAAAAACTGTAGTATATGTCACAACGTTGTAAAATTCAGCTCCAAGAAACTACATAATTTCTGCAAGGTTTGGATGTTCACTCTTCAATGAAGTTACTCAAATCATCACATTATACGTATGTCAAAATATGTTAATCAGTGGAATAGATCTCTGTTTAGAAAAATATGATATGCATTTTGTTATATCTTAACTGAGGAGAAAGGAAAAATCACTGTGAACATATACATGGGTGGGATAAAATCTATGAAATAAATTAATTAATACGAACGATAGGGATTTACAGATAAGGTAGACGATTTCGATGGTGATATTTTATCTGAGCTTGATAGTTTAATTGTGAAGCTTTTGTCATACATTTTGGTCAACGTCATCATCGCCTACTTCATATAGTAATAAAATAACTGAAACGCTTACTTCTACATAATGATGCCGTCTAGAATGACAAACGCAAACCCCATAATGGAAATATCCAGATCTTAGAACAAAACACCACCAAAGTTTATGCAAACACCACACTTCCTCTGAATGTAACTTCTCTTTTTTCTATTTTTGTTATTGTAGAAGTACATGTACAAACTGAAGAAGTGTTTATATCACCAGGTGAACGTGTAGTTATCAACTGTACCGGATCGGTTGGACCAAATGATACATCACAAAAAAATTTAGAATGGAAGTTATTTGATGGTGGTCGTTTACCAGATGGTAGTCGTTCATTAAAAACACAAGAAGCACAATCTGGACCATTATGGTATGCAATGGAATCGTTAATATTTGATCCTGTCAATAAACAACATGGTGGCGTTTATGCTTGTTTCATAAGGCCATCAATATCGGAGCTAATGAATAAACCAGCAATATTGCATAAGGTCACTGTGACTGTTAGTGGTACGTGTTACACTATAAGTTTTTTTTAATGAATGACTACTATTATTTATATCAGTTTAACTCGATATTCAATCAGTTTTAACCAAACTTAGGAACTAAAACGAAAGTGTATGTGTGTGTGTCAGTTCAGGTTGCTACATCTCATATCAGAAGACTAAGAGAAAGATTGAAGTACTCACTTTAAAAACATTAGAAAAGAAAGTATTGAAATCAATGGATCATATCAAAAAATGACTAGTTTATAATTAATTTTGAACTAAGAATGTTAGAGGCAATAAGGGGTGACTATAATTGTTAGGATCTGAATTGATAAAATCAAATGTCTTTGAACTCTATTATTTCCACAACCCCATAGTGATAATAATCATGTCTGCACTAGTGACTAGCTTCTAGATACAATTCCTGGAGTTCATTAGTTAGAAGCCGTAACCAGAGAAGTCCAACCGTGTTGAGTAAGGGACACTTATCTACCTCAGACAATGGGTGAGCCTCTCATGAAATTATGAAATGATTGGAGTTACCATCGTTGAATGCCGGCTCAGTGGTTTAGAGGTTGAGCGTTCTCGCGTGAGATCGAAGGTCTTGCATACTGTTCTCGGCTGCGAGTTCATAGGCACACATTGTTGAGGAGTCCCGTGCTAGGATGATACAACTGTCCAGTACTTCCAGGCTTTCAAAGGTGATATAACTAAGATCAGTCCATGATTTAAAAACCGTGAAAATGATTTGAAGATTCGGTGCTCGTAGCGAGACCTAAAAGTTTTGAATCCATTCTTTTGCGAAACCGTGGGTACGTACTGCTGAGAGGTTTCATACTAGGATGAAGTCGCTTCCCAGTGCTTCCTGGTTTTTATTGGTATCTTCATTGAAACCAATTTCTATCGATTACTGTCTGTGAATCAGGCTCATAAATGTCAGATCTAATCAAAATTTATTTAATTCAAAATATCGGTAAACTGACTTGTATGCTTCTGTACCTCAATTAATCATCATTTTCAAATATGTATCATCAACATTTTTATATAATTATTGTTCTCTATTAATTTCATGCGTCCGATAGATTTGGAAATTGATATTAATTCAAAAATTATTGAATTCGGTGAGAAAATTATAATCACATGTCGTACAGCTAGTCCTGGACAGTTGGATTGGATGTTACCATCTGGTGAGAAAATTGAAATCACGAATGAAATGAAATCAGACGATGATAATGATCAACCATACACTATAAAAGATGAAAACGACGATGTAAAATTGTCAATTAAATTAATTATACCAAAAGTTAATTTGAATAAAGTTGGCAAATATACATGTTTGCATTCACCATCAAACAATAAACAAACATTTAATTTGAAAATGAAAGAAGGTATGTTCCTCTGGTTTTTAATGCGTGGTTAAAAGAATGATTGATCACTGAGTAGCGAACAATGACATGTTCATCTAGTCCTCCCCTTTAATACAGATCAAATTTTATTGATCATTTTGCAATGTGACTACCAGTCTAAGTAACTTAACATCAGTTTGGGCAGCCGGATAGTACCACGTAACTGATGAATAAGTTAATTAAACTAATTAAAATTTTCATAGTTTTAATCACGAAATGATCTTAGCTAGAGCACTGTTGAAAATCTTGTTTCGTCCTACTATAGGATGAGGGTTGTGTGATGCCGTAAATTGATGGAAGCTAGACACATACAGTATTGGCTGGCGACTCTGAGGTCTAGAGGTGTAGAGTTCTCATGAAAGTCCGTGATTCCTGTGTTTGAATGCTGGTTGCGGGCCCAAGAATGGGCACCGCTGAAAAGTTTCATACTAGTACTGAGAAAGAAAATTCAATGTTTCCAGATTTATAATGGTTGTCGTGCTAAAATCATTTTGTTATTAAAGGAACGAAAGTTCCATAATCTCCATAAACTCCCGTATACTAAATCAAAATTAGAAAACTCGTCACTGTGTGCACTATATTGAACAATAAATATTATATTTAAAATGTTGTTTGGAATTGATTGTCATTGTTTGTACATTCAAAAGTACATTTTCCTTCATTATCGCATGGCGTCAGTAATAAACACATAATTCTACTTCGTATGTATTTCATAACTCTAATGAGATTGCTTTATTCGGATTCTAATAGTTTCTGATGGTGCTTTATTAAACTTCAATTACATAATGTTAGATAATATATATATCCAAAATCAATTAATTGTGACTTCTAATTGTTATTCAATCACCTATGAATTAAAGTAAAACTATATTGCCCAACTGATCAGATTTTTGAGAAGGACTAATTAAGATTTGAGCGAAATCCCATACGTGAATAAAAATACCTTTTAATGTATTTTAAAACAAAGTGAGAACTAAGAAAAAATCTATCAATAATTACTCTCTGAGATGCTTGAAATTTACAAACTGATATAATGGGTGGATTAAAATATTTCCATTTTCCATGATATACTACTATCATACGATTGACCACCGAGATTATGCTGTTTATATTAGATACTCTAATCGATGTGTTATACACAGACTGGATCACTTCATACCGAATGCAGGATTGACGACCAATAATAGGGAACCAGAGGATACAGACTATACAATACTTCATTTAACACAATTGAAAGCCGTTTACACTCAGTAAGTCCCGAGTAGAAATCAATGACAGAAAAGGGAAATAACATATTGAATAGTTAGCCAGCTAAATATCTGTCTATACACGACCAATGGCTAATCACAGCATACTTTCACTGCACATCACAGCAAGATTAAGGTTCAATTCGACAGATTCTTGAAATAAAGATGAAGATGTGGTCATATCCTATGTATATTTGTAGCTTTTAAAAAATCTGTGTTCTACCGAGTATAATATATTCCTGTCTAGCATAATATTGTACTTTGTTTCATATCACTCATCTTTTAACTGTTCCACTGATTTTAGTGATTATAAATAATCGACAAGAATCAGCAAACCTAGGTTTCTTTCTAAACTTGGCATTCGTCAGAGAAGCATATCTTTAAGATGCATTCGGTACGATTGAATTCTAAGTGAATTTTTTGTTTGCGTTTTGGTGCATAAAGAAAAAATAAATCCTTTCCAGCATAAGTCTGAATGTCCTATCATCAGTGTTATACGATGATAGCAGTTCAGAAGTGGCATGTATCAACTTTAATAGATTACTGTTCATTTCCATTAATTGACTATAAAATTTTTGAATAGTACAAAAATCTGGTACTTGCACATAACTATTAGTATTTCAAGATTGTCTATTTAAGTTGAAGAGGGATAGTTATTTGGTGTGACAGTGAAACATAAACATCGGATGTACGGGTCAACTAGAATGAATTAAATCTGTTCGAAATATACATACATAAATTAAGTTATTGAGACGAAAGCGGTGGTAAACAGTTTTCCTGATAAACGTCCGAACTAAAGTTAACATATATCAGTCCTATCCCCCTTCAAATTACTTCTCATCCCTAGCAATAGACTGATCTCATTATGTAAAACATTCTTTATTATCTTCAGAAGCTAGGCTTTAATGTTACTGCATATAAATCTCTCAACTTGAAATGGTTTGTTAAAATCATATACTCACTGTTATATCTAGAAGGTTTGTTCTTGATATACCGCGTATAACGTGAGCACTAGAACGCCAGAACCCTTCCAAGTCACAATGAGAAGACAGAGGACTAATGAAAGGAATATTATTCCCAGACAGTGCCAATTATAGTACAAATTTTTTAGGTATTTATAGTTTTTAGTAAAAACGAAATCATCATTGCAGTCTTCCAATCCTCATACAGGGGGTTATTAGCATTGTCCAATCGGGAAGCTAGACATAAGAATTCTAGGATATTCTTCCGAAAGGTGATTGGATGGAATATATTCGGCTCCTTCTGAGCTTCTTACAGCTTCCTCGAGTACCTCCGTGGTCCGTCGTCATACTCACATTGTGTTCTCGAATTTAATTCGTCAGGCATTACCCGAATAGTGAGTAGAAGATCTATGTTTTTTTTATCAATACGGTCAGTCAACATATGCTAAGGCTATACAATCTCTTTGAATTCTTTACAACACTCACTAAAACTTTTGATCCACCTAAAGAGAACTGATTTTTTTAAATGCACTAGCCTGTATTTTACAAAAAGATGTAGTCTTCAACACTTTCCCTATTTATTTCCTTTTTCCCAGTTATTAATTTGATCAAATCCCCTGAAAGTTCTGATAAACCTGGAAAAACTCTTATTCTTGATTGTACTGCAAATTTGGGTGATTTACATCAATCAGTTGTTTGGTATAAACGACCAAGTTCAAATTCACCATGGTTAGAAATCACTGAAGCAATACAGACTATTGAACATATTACTATACAACAAAAGAATCCTGAAGAAACATCATCATCAGGTGTTTGGTTGTCAGAATTAAAAGCAAAAAATTCACCTGGAATTATTGGTGAATTTATGTGCGCAATACAAAATATTCAGACAGCAATGAATATTGACCGAATGGAAACTGGCAGTGTAATGACGAATGATTTTTCTAAAATTACACATGCAACCATTAAAATATCATTGAAATCTGGTAAGTGTAGTATTAATTAATTTGTAAAGGATTGTATTCTTCCAGATATATTGATATTAAAGATTAAAATTAATCAAACTCTATTAACATGTATATATTCTAAGCAGATTACCATACAGTCACATGTTTTGGTAAAGTTAGTTTATTATCTGGTAGTGGAATCCAGGATACGTGTTGTATCCTATTTGAGATTCGTCATTTCGATAAACCTACATTTTAGTGTTAATATTCACACTTGTATTTGAATCTGGAACGTTGCTCTTCAAACACTAATGTATTATCAACAAAACTACTAAATCCAACTAACCACTAACATAAATAAAAATAATATATTTGTAATATCCCAATGAGTAGAAAATTGGATTTTCTGACGTTTCGTGACTTAGTGTAAGTCACTTCTTCAGAGAATAAATAACCAAATTAAAATTAATCCAAGTTTAAATAGTACAACGGAATAATGCAAGAATAATATTGGATCAATCAAAAACATAGAATCAAATATCTTCGCTCACAACATTATACCACGAATTTGGCTTAGATATGTAGATGATACATTTGTTATTATAAAAAAGACTCATCTAAGATCTTTTTCAAAACGAATAAATACACTTTCATCGCACATCAAATTCACGAATGAAAATGAAAATGTACATGGTGAGCTACCATTCTTGGATTGCATAGTAAAAAGAAATCCAAATGGAAGTCTAAACCTTTCCATTTACCGAAAACCGACACATTCAAATCGTTATATTGACTTCCATTCAGCACATCCTTTCAGTGCAAAGATCTCACTAGCCTTAAATCTTTTTAGAAGAGCTAACAAGATCATCACATCAGAGGAAGACAAACAAAAAGAACAAATGAATATAGTTAGCATCTTACAATTTAATAATTTTCCTATGAAGATTATTAGAAGCATATTAAAACAAAACAGTTTATTACAGTCTAATAATGATTCGAATGAAATTCCATGGATTGGTACTGTAGTTCTACCATACCGTCATGGCACAACAGAAGAAATCCAAATAATCTTAAAACATCACAAAAAATCAAAGTGTATTACAAAACAACGGACACACTACGTTCGCCTGAAAGACAAAATCCCTTTAATGTCCACACAGAACTGCGTCTACAAATTAGGTTGTATCGATTGTGATGCCTATTATATTGGAGAGTCGTCCCGCGAAATCATAACTAGAGCCAAAGAACATATTAGGTACACAAAGAAACCTCCTAACAATCCTGTAGAATTGAACCAACTTCAAATTAAATCGGCAATAGCAGTTCATGCCATTTTCAACAACCACCAAATCGATTTTAAAAATAACAAAATATTGCAAAAAGGCTTTTCTAACTACAAAGAAAGGAGGGTAGCTGAGGCGTTCCATATAATGCTTAATCCTACTTCTCTCAATAGAAAGGAAGGTCTTACTATACATCCTACTTGGACCATCTATCCTAGCCACTCAGTCTGATCGTATTTACAATTTCACACTAGCATATTACAAATTTAAACTCTATCCTTTCTTACCATAAAGGTCACACAAGTTTTCATTCTTAAACAATACACATATACATACACACAAATTTACATACATATCACTTATGAATCACCTTGACAGAAATGACATGACATCAACTTGTTCAGACTTGTTTTTGATTGATCCAATATTATTCTTGCATTATTCCGTTGTACTATTTAAACTTGGATTAATTTTAATTTGGTTATTTATTCTCTGAAGAAGTGACTTACACTAAGTCACGAAACGTCAGAAAATCCAATTTTCTACTCATTGGGATATTACAAATATATTATTTTTATTTATAACAATGAACACAATGCTCAATTTATTCGAAATTATCAAATCAAACCTTGGTAATGACACCTATAACCACTAACATGTTCAATGAGTACATAACGTTTTCTTTTCCTGTTATTTATATTAATAGGTGTAACCGAACATTCAGTAGATTTGTAGTTAGTAATGAAATAAATAATTGAACTAGTTAGTAAGTGCTTGCATTAATATGTAGCTAGTATTTGTCATGTATTGAATTCAGTTGAGAACCAGGAAGCACTGATAAGCTGTTAAACTACTGTACTCAATCATATAATAATTTGAGGTTTCAGTGAAGAAAAATCAACTAGTCAGGCATCAAACTTCACCTCTGTAGGAGAGTACAGGAAATTTCAAGGAGAGATTTTGTTTATTTAATATAGTGCTGTCGTAAATTGTTAAATGCAACCGGAGATCCATAATCATTATTTCAATTACATTCATATAAGATTGACAAGTCTTGATAAAACGAAGTTTGAAAAATGCGGAAGCATTAAAGTTGGATAATGACCAGGAGTGGGATCTATGATATAAGTTTTCACCTAATTAGGACTCGTCAACTGGATATATATATATATATACTTCAGTGCTAATATCCACTTGTGTTTCATATAAAAAATTGTATCCACCGTGTTACTAAGCTGAAATAACCATTGATTTTTTCAACGGATAAAAAAGTGAATTTCCGGTCGTTGAGATTCAAACCTACAATGGAAAAGCAATATATTTTTCTTAAAATTTAATTGTGCGAATCCACATTTTATCGATTATACAAGCCCTACATTTTTTAATTTTACAATATGATAAGAAGGAGAGTACGGTTTTAAGTATCGTTTTGTTCTGTAAAATAATCAAATAGGTTTCACTATGATGAGGAACTTTGTCAAGTTAAAAGTTTCTACACTTTTAATTAAATGTTTCGTGAAACTTTACTGATATTATAAATCTTGAGTTTGGGATTGTGGAGTCCTAGTGAGAGGCCGTCACTAGTGGAGTTCAACCGTGTTGGGTGTGAGGCAGTTACCCACCGAAGATAATGGAAGATTGTCGCGCAAAATCGCTGATTTATTAAGGTTTGACATAGGAAGGATTAATCGTCATCTCCAAATTATCGTGTCTGAACATGTAAATGGCTGCAAAAACAAAAAAAATCAAATGACCCAATATGAGATGATAAATATCTATCCTTATCTACTACCAAACATAGTTGAAACAAGTCATTAAATTGATCTTAACACGGCTTTTGTGGTGTTGTACAAGAGTGAAAAAGGGCGCATTCTAGTGTTTATATAAGTTTTGAAAGTGCGAAAATCCATTTCTTTTTTATGTATCCGAAAACAGTTTGTTCTCACCTTTAACCTACCCTGGTAATATAAGCTTATTATTCAGAGTTTTTCATATTATTTTCTTTATTATCCTTTTCTCCTCTTAGCCTCCATTTCTAGTCTAGTTGGCCTGTTATCTTTATATATGAATGATTTTAACAATTATATGTGTGATCAGATTGTTCGAAATGTGTTGCACTGATACATCACATAGTTCTGATAATCTTCGTCTTCTTGTTACACTATCTAAATTTATCAAAGGGGCTAAGTACTCCGAATTTCTTAAAAGGCGACTCCGTGCACACAATATTGGTCATACTTACTTACTTACTTACGCCTGTTACTCCTCGTGAAAGAGCATAGGCCGCTCTCACCACCATTCTCCATCCAACCCTGTCCTGGGCAATTCATTCCAGCTCCTTCCAGTTCCTATTCATCCTTTTCATATCTGCTTCTATTACCCGACGTAATGTGTTCTTAGGCCTTCCTCTTTTCCGCTTCCCTTCAGGATTCCAAGTTAGGGCTTGTCTCGTGATGCAGTTTGATGATTTGCGTAATGTATGTCCTATCCATTTCCATCGTCTTTTCCTAATTTCTTCTACAGCTGGAAGCTGATATGTTCTCTCCCAGAGAAGGCTGTTGCTGATGGTATCCGGCCGATCGATATTGAGTATCTTGCGTAGACAACTGTTTATAAATACGTGTACCTTCTTGATGGTGGTTGTTGTAGTTCTCCAAGTTTCAGCTCCATACAGTAGAACTGCCTTAACGTTCGTATTGAAAATTCTCACTTTGATATTGGTTGACAGTTGTTTTGAGCTCCATATGTTCTTCAATTGTAGGAATGCGACCCTTGCTTTGCCAATCCTTGCCTTTACGTCTGCATCCGAGCCTCCTTGTTCATCGATGATGCTTCCTAGATATGTGAAGGATCCTACCTCTTCCAGAGTTTCACCATCAAGAGTAATTGGATTTCTGTTCTCCGCCTTGAATTTGAGGACCTTGGTTTTCCCTTTGTGTATGCTGAGGCCTACTGATGCAGAGACTGCTGCCACACTGGCTGTCTTTGTCTGAATCTGTTCGTGTGTACGCGATAGGAGGGCTAGGTTATCTGCGAAGTCCAAATCGTCTAATTGATTTTGAGATGTCCATTTTATTCCGTGTTTTCCTTCAGATGTCGAGGTCTTCATAATCCAGTCAACCACCAGAAGAAAAAAGGAAGGCAGAGAGTAAACAGCCTTGTCTTACTCCGGTCCTTACTTGGAATGCATCTGTCAGCTGTCCTCCATGCACGACTTTGCATTGTAGTCCGTCATATGAGTTCCGGATAATATTGACAATCTTCTCAGGAACTCCGTAGTGTCGAAGAAGTTTCCATAACGTCCTCCTATCCACACAGTCAAATGTCTTTTTATAATCAATGAAGTTGACTTATAGTGACGAGTTCCACTCAACTGATTGTTCGACGATGATCCGTAGTGTTGCAATTTGGTCTGTGCACGACCGGTCCTTACGGAATCCAGCTTGTTGACCTCGAAGTTGGGCGTCTACTGCATCTTTCATCCGGTTCAGCAACACTCTGTTGAAGACCTTCCCTGGTATTGACAGCAGTGTAATGCCTCTGTAGTTTTCACATTTGCTCAGATCTCCTTTCTTTGGAATCTTGACGAGGTGCCCTTCTTTCCAGTCCATCGGCACTTGTTCCTCCTCCCAAATCTTTTTGAATAGAAGGTGAAGCATGTTTGTAGTTACTTCGATGTCTGACTTCAGTGCTTCAGCTGGTATGTTGTTGGGTCCTGCTGCTTTCTTGCTCTTGATTTGTCTGATGGCCATTATGATTTCTTCCTTCGTTGGTGGGTTGACGTCTATGGAAAGATCTGTGTGTGCCGCTTCGATGTCCGGTGGATTCATTGGAGCCGGCCTATTCAGGAGTTCCTCGAAGTATTCTACCCATCTGTTCCGCTGTTGTTGAATTTCAGTGATTGGCTTGCCTTCTTTGTCTTTGACCGGTCTTTCTGGTTTACTGTATTTCCCTGATAGTTTCTTCGTTGTATCGTAAAGCTGTTTCACATTTCCTTCTCTAGCAGCTTTTTCCGCCGTCTTTGCTAGTTCTTCCACATATTCCTTCTTGTCGGCTCTAATGCTCTTCTTCACTTGTTTGTTTGCTTCTATGTATTCAGCTTGTGCTTGGACTTTCTCTGTTCGTGTTCGGCTGTTGTTAATTGCTGCCTTCTTGTTCTTCCTTTCCTTGATCTTGTCCAGAGTTTCTATAGAGATCCACTCCTTATGATGGTGTTTCTTTAGGCCCAGAACCTCTTGACACGTTGAAGTTAATGCTTCTTTGACGCCTTTCCAGTTGTCCTCCATAGTAGTTTCTTCTTCCTTCAGTGGATCTTGTAAGGCTTGGAACCTGTTGTTGAGAGCTATCTTGAATTCATTGAGTTTGTCAGTATCTCGAAGGAAGGCTGTATTGAACATTTGTAGTGCTGTTTGTCCACTTGTCCAGTTCTTTTTTAGCTTCAGTTTTAAATTGGCCACAACTAGGTGGTGATCTGAAGCTACGTCAGCGCCTCTCCTGGTTCTCACATCTTCAATTGTCCTTCGGAACTTTTTATTGATGCAAATATGATCTATTTGGTTCTCTGTAGTGTGGTCCGGTGAGATCCATGTAGCCTTGTGTATACGCTTGTGTGGAAATATTGTGCCCCCTATGACCAATTTGTTGAATGCACATAGATTTGTCAATCTTTCTCCATTTTCGTTTCTCTGTCCCAGTCCATGTCGTCCCATAATATCTTCATATCCGGTGTTGTCTATTCCGACTTTGGCATTTAGATCTCCCATTGGAATGGTGAGGTCCTTTCTTGGGCATTTCTCTATGATTGACTGCAGCCTATCGTAGAATTGATTTTTAATGTCGTCGTTGCTGTCATTGGTGGGTGCATAACATTGGATAATATTCATTGTGATCCCCTCCTTCTTTGTTTTGAACGATGCTTTGATGATTCTGGATCCGTGAGATTCTCATCCTACAAGTGCATTTCGTGTTACTTTGGACAGCATTAGAGCGACTCCCTGAGTGTGTGGAGCATTTTCCTCTTCGTGACCGGAGTATAGTAGCATCTCTCCCGTAGCTAGCCTTTTCTGTCCAGCTTGGGTTCAGTGGGTTTCGCTGATTCCCAGTACTGCCAAATTGTATCTCCTCATTTCCGTTGCTATTTGACTGGTCTTCCCCGCCTCCCACATTGTTCGGACGTTCCATGTACCTACAAAATTTTTTGCTCTCGTTGTTAGAAGGGGCATAGGCCTCGTGGCTTCCGAAGTAACTCGGCTTTCACCATGAAGCGTCATAATTCTTCTAAATGAAGACCTTCTAACTCCCAGGGCAGAGTTCAAATGGTTTGAATTATTTTTTCTGGTAAGCGTTTGTTTAGCGAGTTAGTTTTCTACGGGATGGGGACGCTAACACCATGCCCAACCCTCCTCCTTTACCCGGGCTTGGGACCGCCAGTAACTCTAGAAGAGCTACAGGCGGAGTTAATATTGGTCATAATTACTCAATATATAATCACTACAAATTTTAACGCTACTTTTAGATAATTATTTTTCAAAGTTTCAATGACGAACTTTTTTTACCTAGACCACCACTGAGAACCTGGAAGCACTGAGTGACCTTTTCTTCCTAGTCTGAGACTCCTTGGCAGTGCAAACCCATGACCACATATCCAGGAGTCAAACCCCTGGACTTTCGGTCGAGAGTTCAAACAAATGACATATAGAACATTGAACAACAGGGTTATTATCTAATTTCCAGATTTTCCATTAATTGTCCAGTTAAGATCAGTTCTCGATTTAAAATATAGATATTCCGCAATCTATGCAAAACCTCATATTACTAAAAATTATTTTTCATTGTCAATATACAAATATTTTTAATTATAGTTTTGAAAATACTTACTCCAATAAAATTGGAAAACGGTCAGATTAATGTACATTGTCAAGGATATCCAGCACATTCTAAAGATCGCTTACAATGGGTTTACATTCCATTGAATACTGATAATAATCCAGATAAAGTTATTACGATTGTACATTCCAATCCAAAAGATGAAGAAAATGAACATGAAACTGATGGGAATACAAAGTCATTGGAAGGAAAAGTTAGAACAGTAATGTTTCTTTATTGTGTTATAACTTATCAAAGTGTTATATCTTTAAAAAGTATAGATTCGTACATTATTTTGGAACGCATGTGATTGTTTCATTATTATAAGAGCAGCTGTATTATCTAATCCGACTATTGATTATTTAGCCATTACTACCTGTATGATCAGTGATCTCATATATCAGTGACCAATAAACAAACTGTCTAACCCTTACTTCATATCGGTCCTCTAGCTACTTTTAATTTGGTGTTCAGTCAGAAGAAACTAGCAACTAAGTAATTTTTTATTTTGTAACTGATCAAGGTAGAACTAAACTATACTGAAAGCCTTGGAATAAATGAAACCGATCAATCAGAGTGAATTTATGCTCGATTTTTAAGACGGAATTACAGATGACCTACTACAGGATCTCATGTTTTAGCGATAGTTTGTATTTTGATTAATTTAATTGGTGGTCTCATGGTAGATTCCTTGTAGAATGCTGTATTAATGAGAATGAACGTCTTTTTAATGTTGCTGTAGTCAGAAAATGGATTACAGAAAAATCATAGTGTTCAGAGATGAAGTTTTCTCTTTATAGGTATTAAGCGTAGAACTATTATTTATCATTGATTTATTATCTACCAATAATAACAAAACTCCAAGCAAATTCATGTGAATAATTTTATAAGCTTTTGTCACTTTGTCCAAAGGTATGCAAAGACATAAGGGTAGAAAAGATAGATGAGTTTTAATCCAATGAGGGCACACACCAAAAAGATCGGACTGCAAAGTGGTGAGGATTAAAATGGCGATTTTTCAACATCATGCGTAGATTATTTAAACGTTTAGACTGTATTGTATTGAAAATCCTGACCTTGATGTTGGTTGACAGTTCCTTTGAGTTCCAAATGTTCCTCAGTTGTAAATATGCTGCTCTTGCGTTGCCGATCCGCGCTTTCACATCTACATCAGATCCACCGTGTTCATCAATGATGCTGCCCAGATATGTAAAGGTTTTTACATTTTCCAAATCTTCTCCGTCAATTGTGATTGGATTGGTGCATGCTGTGTTGTACCGGAGAATCTTGCTTTTCCATTTGTGTATATTGAGACCTACTGCAGCTGAGGCTGCTGCTACATTGGTCGTTTTCTCCTGCATTTGTTGTTGCGTTTGCGATAGAAGGGCCATATCATCTGCGAAGTCTAGATCGTCCAACTGCATCTTAGATGTCCATTGTATCCCGTGCTTCCCTTCAGATGTTGACATCTTCATAATCCAGTCGATCACCAGGAGAAAGAGAAAAGGTGAGAGTAAGCAACCTTGCCTGACACCGGTCTTTACCTCGAACGACTTTGTCAACTGTCCTCCATGCACGATTTTGCACTGTAATCCATCATAGGAATTCCGTATGATATTGACTATCTTCTGAGGCACGCCGTAGTGTCGAAGAAGTTTCCATAGTGTTGTTCTGTCCACGCTATCAAATTCTTTTTCGTAGTCAATGAAGTTGATGTAGAGTGATGAATTCCATTCAATTGATTGTTCCACAATGATCCGTAGAGTTGCGATTTGGTCCGTACACGATCTATCCTTACGGAATCCTGCCTGTTGGTCTCGAAGTTGGGCGTCTACGGAGTCCTTCATCCTGTTTAACAATACCCTGTTGAAGAGTGTTCCCGGTATTGAGAGAAGGGTGATGCCCCTGTAGTTATCACAGTTGCTGAGATCGCCTTTCTTTGGTATTTTGATCAGAAGTCCTTCTTTCCAGTCTGTTGGTACTTGTTCCTCATCCCAAATCTTATTGACGAAAATATGGAGTATCTTTGCAGTTACTGGTACGTCTGCTTTCAGTGCCTCTGCTGGAATGTTGTCTGGTCCTGCTGCTTTGCCACTCTTGATTTGTCTGATGGCCATGCTGATTTCTTTAATTGTTGGTGGGCCAACATTGATTGGGAGGTCCGTGGGTGCTGCTTCGATATTGGATGGGTTCAGTGGAGCTGGTCGATTCAAGAGTTCTTTGAAGTGTCCTACCCACCTGTTTCGTTGTTCTTCAATGTTGGTGATTACCTCACTTTCCTTGCATTTCACTGGTCGCTCCGGTTTGCGGCGATTTCCAGAGAGTTTCTTTGTCGTGTCAAAACGTTTTCTCATGTTTCCTTCTCTTGCAGCCTTTTCTGCCGTCATTGCTAAACCTTCCACATATTTACGTTTGTCAGTTCTGATGTTCGTGTTCACTTGCTTGTTTACTTCTGTGTATTCAGCTTGTACCTTGGCTTTTTCTGCTTTTGTTCGGCTAGTATTGATTGCTGCTTTCTTGTTCCTCCTTTCTCGAATTTTATCCAGTGTATCAACAGTGATCCATTCCTTGTGGTGGTGCTCCTTATGGCCCAGAATCTCATGGTATGTTGAAGTGATTGCTTCTTTGATCCTCTTCCAGTTGCTCTCCATAGTAGTTCCTTCTCCATTGAGTAGATCATGAAAGGCCTGGAACTTATTACTGAGGACTATCTTGAATTTGTTGAGTTTCTCAGTATCCCGAAGAGAAGCCGTATTGAACTTTTGTGATATTGTCCGTCCCGTTGTCCAGTACTTCTTGAGTTTCAATTTCATCTTGGCGACCAGCAAGTGATGCTCTGATGCTCTATCAGCTCCTCTCTTGGTTCTCACGTCTTCCATCGTCCTCCTGAACTTTTTGTTGATGCAGATATGGTCGATTTAGTTTTGTGTAGTGTGATCCAGTGAAGTCCATGTGGTTTTGTGTATGCGTTTATGTGGGAATATAGTTCCGCCTATGACCAGTTTATTGAAGGCACATAGGTTTGCAAATCTCTCACCATTTTCGTTCCTTTCTCCCTTTCCGTGTCTTCCCGTGATGCCTTCATATCCGGTGTTGTCCATTCCAACCTTGGCATTTAAATCTCCCATCAGAATGGTCAGGTCCTTTGTTGGGCCCTTCTCGATGATTGACTGCAGCCTATCTTCAGCGTCTTCATTGTAGTTGTTGGTAGGCACATAGCATTACATGATGTTCATTGAAATGCCCTCTTTCTTTGTTTTGAAGGAGGCATTGATGATCCTTGGTCCATAGGATTCTCATCCTATAAGTGCATTTTGTGCTTGTTTGGACAGCATCAACGCAACTCCTTGTGTATGTAGGGCATTTTCTTCATCATGACCGGCGTATAACAGGAGCTTCCTTGAAGCTAGTCGTTGATGTCTAACTTGCGTCCAATGTGTTTCACTGATCCCAAGCACGTCTAGGTTGTATCTTCTCATTTCTGCAGCAATTTGGAAGACTCTCCCGGTCTCTCACATTGTACGAGTATTCCATGTACCTAAATAAGTGGTTGCTTTGGTTGCCAGAAGGGGCATCGGCCTCGTGACTTCCGAAGGAACTCGGCTTTCATCATGAGGCGTCATAGTTCTTCTAAATGAAGACCTTCTGACTCCTAGGGTGGATTTTAAAAGGTTTGAATAATTTTTTCTGGTTAGCGTTTTTTTAGCGAGTTAGTTTTCTACGGGATGGGGTCCCTAACCCCATGCTCGACCCTCCTTCTTTATCCGGTTTTGGGACCGGCAGTAGCCTCCGAAGGGACTCCAGGTGCAGTTTCTAGAGAGTTTGCTAGACAATTTTATTTCCTACACTTAAACGTATAAAACTGTGTCATAAAAATTGAAAAATTTAAGTAACATTGACATCTTCATTATATTAATAAATCATACTTTTGATGCTCGGCCCAATTGAAGCATGCCTTTATTGGAGGATACCGATATACATAATGAAATTGCCTAATAGAAAACAGCAACCATCGAGTATTGAACAAAGAATATTGTCATAATTTTTCCTCAGTAAAATAAAAATATTCTAATTGATCTCAGTTAGAGTACCATTGCAAATCCAGGGGCACTTTTGTGTTTTTTGTTCTACTTTTGGGTTTCTCATCATTGACCATCTACGAGCCTACCAGTTAATGAATCAATGATTTCCAGTTCCTAGTGTAGGCGCTTCATTACTATTTTGTCATCCACTGGTACAATTATAACTCCGATCTTTGTTGAATATAGTTTACAAATTAAACCAATCCGTATCAACACTCAACTAAAATAATCATTATTTGAAAATATGCTTCAATTTATATAAACCTGCTTCAAATTAAACTCTATTCATACTTTGTTAACCAATTAGGAAATTGATGAAATCGTCAGTTTAGCATTTCAATTAACTGATAGTATACCAGCGACTTGGCCAGGTTCAACCGGACCTCAGCAACTTGTACAATCAGAACTGATTGAACAAGAACATCAACCAAAACAGATGTATACTGCAGAACGTTTAAGTTTAACATTTGATAGTAAATATGCAGAAAAAGTTGCAGGTGGTATTTTATCATGTCGCTACATAAGACCAAAAGGAATTCTTCCAATGGATTCAGATGAAGCAGCAGAATCATTAACGAAAGTTATCATTCCTGAAACTAACGACGATGATGACGAAATAATTGAGAAGAGTGAAATTCCCATGAAAGAATTATTGGGTAAGTCAATATCCATATACATATTTAATAATGAAGTTCACCTCTTATCACATTCAAAACTGTTTTTACTAAACTACATCAATTATCTGCGTGCCCATTAGACGTAGCCTTTCAAATCTTAAATTCATTTTTATTGATTAAATCTTCGAAATGATGTTTAGTACTGAAATGTATCAGTGTCTTTTGGGATAGATAACAGAGATGAATAGTGGCTAGCTGTGGAATCTAGGACTCGAGTTTTGTCCTATTTGGGACTCTTCATTAACATCAACTTTAGGATGGCGAGTCCCAAAAAATTTAAGTATTTGGTTTGCTTACCAAAAGTTCTAACTTTAGTTAGATAATAAGTTTTACAGAACGTCATCTCAATTATTGATTTGCCAGATAAAAGTCTGGCCTCTTAACTCATAGGGGAGTATGCGACCTACAGAACTGAAATTTTACGGTATCTTTCTGTCAATAAACATATTATATTACTTGATCGAAAAACCTATTCTACTGATCAACCGTCTTGTCTTTGATGACCGTTCGTTTTCGGTGAGAGGTGGGTCTTGTGTCAATAATCTGGTCCTGTGAGCCATTATCCCTCATCCACATCATACCATCGGTATTCTACACATTCATTATGTGTTACTGCTTATCAAAACCATACTAGTGGTATCAAGAGTGAGATCTAAACTTAAACGAGTATATCTTAGTGGATTAGGATTATTCAGAGGCATAGTATTGTAATGTGCGGTTTTCCCTGTGTACACGAAGGGGACTTTAATTCACCCTAGACGAATATCTTCTCTAGATTCACTCCCAGTGTCTATCCTACAGGACATCAACACAACTTAGATCAAGAACACGTGGCTGTCCTGACTAAAAAGTAAGTATATTTCCTTACCGAAAACTGACAACAATCCAATAATAATAATGGTAGGCGAATATATAACACTTCCAGTACATGTAAGACTATCTACTAGTCTGACTAAACAGACAACCACTCATTATTTCCCTCGCCCACACATCACATAATATAAATAACCATCGAAACAACTTTTTAAAAACATTCCATACTTCATTTAATTAAGGCTATAGTGTAATGAGAAGATCAAGTTATTCTGAAAAATATAACGTATTTGTGCTAAACGTTTAGAACAGTCCGATCATAGATATAATTTTCTGAGTCAACGAAATAATAGGTCAAACATATATAAACTGTGAATTCACTTAGAATTTATAGGTATCATTACGTAGGTTTGATTTGATAATTTCGTCCATCTAGTGCTTCCAGGTTTTCCATGGTGGTCTAGCTTCAATTGACTCATGATTTCAACCTGTGAAACTCCGAATAAATTGAGCATTGGGTAGATTATTATAATTAAATTAATATATTTGTAATATCCCAATGAGTAGAATAATTAGATTTTCTGACGTTTCTTGGCTTAGTGTAAGTCACTTCTTCAGAGAGTAAATAACCAAATTAAAAGTAATGCAAGTTTAAATAGTACAACGGAACAATAAGAATATGTGATCAATCAAAAGCCAATCAAAAAACAGGTCTGAACAGGTTAATGCCATGTCATTTCGGTCAAGGTGATTCATAAGTTAAATAAATGTAAATTCGCGTTTATGTATGTGTGTATTGTTTAAGGATGAAAAATAGTGTGACATTTACGGTGAGAAAGGTTAGAGCACACATAGAATCCAATATATTCACCCACAACATTATTCCACGAATTTGGCTTATATATGTAGATCATACATTTGTTGTGATAAAAAAGACTAATCTAAGATCTTTTTCAAAACGGATAAATACACTTTCATCTCACATCAAATTCACGAAGGAAAATGAACATGGTGAGCTACCATTCTTAGATTGCTTAATGAAACGAAATCTAATTGGAATTCTAAATCTATCCATCTGCCGAAAACCTACACACTCTAATCGCTATATTTGCTTGCATTCAACACATCCTTTCAGTGCTAAGATCTCGCTAGCCTTAAATCTTTTTAGAAGAGCTAACAAGATCATCACATCAAAAGAAGACAAACAAAAAGAACAAAAGAATATAATTAGTATCTTACAATTTAATGATTTTCCTATGAAGATTATCCGAAGTATATTACAACAAGACGGTTTAATGCGTTATAATAATAATTCGAATGAAATTCCATAGATTGGTACTGCAGTTTTACCATACCGTCATGGCACAACAGAAAAACTCCAAAGAATCTTAAAACAACACAGAATTAAAGTATATTACAAAACAACGAACACACTTCAAAATACTTTAGTTCGCTAAAAAAGATAAAATCACATTCATGTCTACACAGAACTGCGTCTACAAATTAAGTTGTATCGATTTGTGATGCCTTCTATACTGGAGAGTTATCTCGAGAAATCTTGACTAAAGACAAAGAACATATTCGGCACACAAAGAAACCTCTTAACAACCCCGTAGAATTGGATAAACTTCAAATTAAATCGGCAATAGCAGTTCATGCCATTTTTAACGACCATTTTAAAAATCAAAATATCAAAATATTGCAAAAAGACTTTTCCAATCACAAAGAAAGGAGAGTAGCTGAAGCGTTCCTTATAATGCTTAATACTACTGCTCTCATCGGGAAAGAAGGCCTTACCATACATTCTACATGAACTATCTATCCCAACCACTCAGTCTGATCATATTTACAATTCATACTATCTTTCACAGATTTAAATCATGAGTCAGTTGAAGCTAGACCACCATTGAAAACCTGGAAGCACTGGACGGCCGTTTCGTCCTAGTATGGGACTCCTCAGCAGTGCGCATCCACGATCCCGCACCACGCGGGGCTCGAACCCAGGACCTACTGGCTTCGCGCGCGAGCACTTAACCATTAGACCACTGAGCCGGCATCCAACGGTGTTAATGTCTAACTTCAACCAATCCACGAAGTCGCGCCACCGTACACCATTGTCTTCAGTGAGCTGATATCTCACAACAGACCTGGTTGAACTCCACTGGTAACGGCTTCGTGGATTGGTTGAAGTTAGACATTAACACCGTTGGATGCCGGCTCAGTGGTCTAATGGTTAAGTGCTCGCGCGCGAAGCCAGTAGGTCCTGGGTTCGAGCCCCGCGTGGTGCGGGATCGTGGATGCGCACTGCTGAGGAGTCCCATACTAGGACGAAACGGCCGTCCAGTGCTTCCAGGTTTTCAATGGTGGTCTAGCTTCAACTGACTCATGATTTAAATCTGTGAAAAAATTTCTAAAATCTCCACAAACCCCTTCTGATAATTCATACTATCATCTTACAAATTAAAAACTCTATCCTTTCTCACCGTAAATGTCACACTATTTTTCATCCTTAAACAATACACACATACATAAACGCGAATTTACATTTATTTAACTTATGAATCACCTTGACCGAAATGACATGGCATTAACCTGTTCAGACCTGTTTTTTGATTGGCTTTTGATTGATCACATATTCTTATTGTTCCGTTGTACTATTTAAACTTGCATTACTTTTAATTTGGTTATTTACTCTCTGAAGAAGTGACTTACACTAAGCCAAGAAACGTCAGAAAATCTAATTAATCTACTCATTGGGATATTACAAATATACTCTTTATTTATCACTTAGAATTGTTTACTTGAATCTTCCCACTTATGTTTGGGACTGCAATTGATCATTCTCTTGGTGGCATATGCGCATCCTGTGCGAACTGCCTCGATGTTGCTTTAACTCGCATTCGTTATAAGCTAAAATGGATAGTGACTAGCTGTGGGATGCAGGACGCGCGTTTCGTCTTATTTGGTACTCGTCAGCCGATTGTTTACTCTGCAATAACGCAGTGGTATTTGAAGCGAATGGCATTGAGTTCAAATCCCAGGCGTGGGATCGTGGATGCTCACCACTGAAGAGTTTCATATTGAGGCGAAACGGCTATCGATTGGTTACAGATTTTCATTGGTTCTCCAACTTGGATCGATTCGTGGTTTCAATTTTGATTTACGATTAATAATAACAATACATGCCAGATGCATAAACCTTTACACCTTTGTGTTTTCTATTTGTTTCATTAGTTTTTGTATGTTTACTTATGATTTTCCAGATGCAAAACAAGGTGATGACAATGACAATTTATCAATTCTAAAAAGTTCTCTCGATGAGGAACCAGATGACCTACAATCAGATGACAATAGAAATAATACAGAGAAGAAATCAATTTCAATGTTACTCTACATGAATATTGTGGCTTTATTGATTATTTTTATGCGTAATTAAAAATTTCCGGCTAATTTAAAGCCAAAAACGAATGGAAAGATTTTTTAAGAAGGAAATTGATCACATCACAGTAGTCAAAGCATAAACAGTTACTATTATTATTGTTATGGTTACCATTATTATTAATTTAGCTTCAACGCATCTTTTCTTTCGGCTCCTTCTGTTATGTTCCTTTTGGTTGATTATTGTTCTCGTTGCCATTTGTGTTACTGTGCTTTTTCTTGTCTTCGTTATTTTACTAAACTGTATTCTCGACCGACTCTATTACTCACTACCATATAAATATATACACGAAGAGAATTTATTTGAGTGTAAGTAGTTGAATAGATATTAGATAGGCGTCATTCTTTATGTCTCTTCTAGTTATTTTTAGTGGTTCCAGGCCGAATTTATTTTATTAAAATAATCTATTCATAGTCTTTAGTTGAATATCGAATTTTATTGCTTAAACACTCATTTGTTCCTATTGTTTCATCCTTTTTTATTTGAAACTATCATCTCGATTGTGCTACGTCCACTTCCCCTCCCATACATACCTCAAATCCTTGATAAGATTATATGCTTAATCTTGGTTCTTTTTTTCGCGGTTTCCATTAGTTGAATAGATTCATTAAAGTTATGTATTTTCCAGAAAAAAAAACAATTTGCTTCCCTTGTATTATAAAATGTCATTTTACAGTACAATTTTTATAGTTGATTGCGATTTCTTTCAATTAATATTTATTTGTTTATCCATTTATTTTATTTCCTACTGCTCCATTTTAGCCTAGAAAATAATTAGCATTCCGTGTCATGAATAGAGTGTTATCTTATTAGACAGATAGATAGGTCAGTAAGATAAATGGTTATATATATTTCGATAAAAACACCTCTTTGCGCTTGCATCATTGCTGTTTGCTTATTCCACGAATCAATGTTTTGTCTTAAAATTTTCTTATCTAACATGACGTATTTATCTGTTGCTTGTTGTTTATGTGAATCAATAAACAAAAAAACATGATCCATGAAAAGATTAAATTGTGTCGACTGTTCTTCATATTATTATCACCATCAAATAATCCTTTAAATGTTGTTACCATCACATCCTCCCTGTTCATTAGTGTTCGCTGTTAAAAATATTTGTGCAAATATTTACATACCAGAGCTCATAAAACCACTACTATTATTATTGTTATTATAATCGTTACGATTCTCAGTTGTGCCATTAATAAGAATAAATAGCCTACACCATTCTTTTTTGATCGCTCTTTTGTCGTTGTTTTTTATTATAATTACACCTGTTTTGCTGTATTTTGGAAATCGGAACACCAAAAGAATCATGCAAGAGAAGTACAACTTAACAATAAATTAATCTTATCACCCTTTTAATTTATCGCTGGCTATTTTCTTTCTTTCCAGTGGGTAATCTTTTTTCTGATTAAGTCAACGAACGATGATGCATTATATCATTTTGTCATTTATTTTTTATGTGAATATATCCGCTGGCGTAGAGAAATTGTTTTTGTATTTTTTTTATCTTGTGAAACTTAAAGTTAGTAGTATAAATTGTAACCTAAAATTTACGCAGTGTAAGTCGGAAATTTCGGAGACGATTTCATGTACTATTGCTATGCAATCACATTCACAGTTAACTATTCACCAAAAATAGTAGTCTGTAGTAAAATAGAGTGATATCGTCCCATAAACTGTTTGCAAAGACTAGGTATTAAAATGAAGTTATGAAATAATCCAACAGATAGTGAAAATCGTCATTGTGAAAATAACTGTTCCCATGATAAATATTTAGAATAGAAGAGTTACAAGTTGTAATAATTGCCAATCAGTAGTTGCAGGGAGTAATTGCAAAACAGTGGAAACGGGAAAACAAAAGATTAAAGAGGATAGTAAACAAGGTTACGATTTTGAATGAATGAGGGTTTGAATATACTGTTTTATACACCTTGGTTAGACTTGATTGATGGATAGGTAGAGCCTCTGTTGTGCATGTTTTTCACTTGTATTTTTGAATCGATTCTGACTATGTGGATGAATTCGAAGATGGATTGCAGTATAACTAAGTGACCGGAATTAATTAGATATTCGAGGATTGGTCTGTAGACATACCTTCATAGTCCTTAGATAACCAGGCAAAGTGATATTTAGATATGCGCTACAAATGAACTATCTTTGTTTGATGACCTCTATGCATTGATCAAGTTTCAATCATTCCTCAAAGAATATAAATGAAACTAATTAGAAATTCGTGGAAATCTGTACATAATTGACCTTATAAGCCATACATCATAATCGTATGTATAAAAAACCAATACAACATTTTGACCGTTTACTTTAACATAACTAACATAGTTACTAGCTCATATCTCAGTGTCACAGTATCTTTTTATGAAAAATAAATATAATTCAGTATCTAAGATCTAATCCCTATACACGGCTTTGAGCGACACTTTATTTATGAAGTATAGAGTAATCTGCCTCTACTATACTGACGAACAAACAGCTTCCACGTAGTACTTTCGAGGTTACGGGATATGTTTAAAATGGATAGTTTAATCGTTTAATTATGAGTTTTAACAAGGATTTTATGATTTAGGACTAATATTTTGATTATGTAAACGAAAAGACGATGTATGGATTCTCGAGATAACACAATTTTGAGATGTAATGTTCGTTAACAAAAGAAATTAGTGCGAATGGGAATTTCCTTGCTTTTACGTAGCCGAAATTGAGACGATATAATACTTGCTATCCACTGAATAGCAGTAGCACTGGTAGCTATTTCAACCCCTTCAACGAACCTACTCGTATATCGGAATTAAAATGGTGTCGATATTGTCGAAACAGATGTTCGGGAATGTTCCCAAATTTTAGTCTACAACTTGGAAGTTTCGATAGTTCTATAGAAATCGATAAATCTGTTGCTAATAATCGAAAGTATAATTATGAAAGGAGTAATAAATTGGAATATTTACTCTGATCTAATAAGTCTTCAGGATTTTGGACAGAACTATACAAATGAGTATTTTTATTACAGTTGAAATGAAGTGGTTCCAATTTTAATACCTGTCAACAGAAAGTACATCTAATCGGGAACGTCTATTTTTTCTAATGATCAGAGTGCTTACAGGTTATAAAACTCGCGTTACCCTCCCCCCATAAGTATTACTTTGTTAAACCTACAACAGGCGTTCACACTAATAAATCTGAGGCTATTCGGTTACCACTAAAGGACTACCTACAACCTTATCATAGATTTATAATTTAAATGCTCTAGTTACAAAATTGAACTATTGTGCCGTACATACTGTGATTTTCAAATTTACAAACCAATTTCAAATCATAATAGTTTCAGTAATCATTTAAAAAGTTTTGATATATTCTATAAAAACTTATCCTATCGTAAAACTTACATTCTGATTGATACACAAAAGATAGAATGTGGCTAGCAACGAAATCTAGGATGCATGTTTCATCCTGCTTGGAGTTCATCAGCTGAATGGACCTAGATACCAGAGTTGATGTTTACTGTGGGACTCGAAACCGCTACGCCTGTCTTTAAAATACCAACTCGTTACCCACAGAGTTACTGATTCCAGATGGCCACTCACTTGTTCTATCTTAGCCTATGTTATAACGACTATATACGTAAAATCTGCACACAATAAATGTATCCCGACCGAGACCGACCGGATTTCAGTCAGAATATTAACAACTAACTCGATTTGAATTTACATTCTGACTGGTTATTAATTAAGTAAAACTCTTCAAGGTCTTTTTTCAAGTTTTCTAACATCCTCGGTATAATGGATATAGTCACACTGGCTAGCTCTAATAACTAATCATTTAAACCGAAACAAGCGAAGCAGAGCATAAACATGCAATACGTTCAGATTATAATGGTCAAATACCTTAATTCATCATAATATACCTCTTCACTCATTGTAATAAATTTATACATATATATAATTTAATATTTGAATTCATGAGTCAATTGAAGCTAGACCACATAACGGAAACCTGGAAGCATTAGACGGCCGTTTCGTTCTAGTAAGGGACTCCTCAGCAGTGAGCATCCAGGATCCCGCCTCGCGAGATTCGAACCCAGAACTTATCAGTCTCATGCGTGAACCCCTAACGACTAGGCCACTGTGCCGGCATCTTTTATTGAAAACCCAATTATAACAAATAGTTAATAAAACAAGAACCTCATCAACGTACAATGAAATTTTGTTGTTCTGTTTTATCGTTCTTATTGACAGAACGCCAGTTATATTAAAAAATAAAAATAACTTAATAATCCAATATTCAACGATTAAATATTACAGAAAACCAATAAATGAAAATTTGTTGTTTTCTATGAATATTGATTCTTGAAAAAAGAACACTTTTTTGTCTTTCTCTTAATTGGAATGATCATCCATGAATTATAATGATAATTGGAATTGAAACCGTTAATATTTTGTCCAATATTGTTTAATGTGTTGGTGATGATGATGATGGTGGTGATGGTGAGTGTATGATGAATCTTCATCCCAGTGATATTTGAGTTTAGATGTATTGTCAATTTTATATGAATTAAGCCGATCAAAACATGAATTCCATTGTGATGGAGAATTTGCATCAACCTATAGATAGATAATACAATAAATAAATATAAAATGAATTTTTTTAAAATAGAGATGTATTTTATGGGATTATTGAACAGTATCAGTGAGTGGTTCGGAAAAAGAAAATGTCCTGTATTATGTAGATGGATAAAAGAACACTTGACTAACAAACTAATCTGATTTAACAGCCAAATACAAGACACAACTGCGGGTAGCTTGTATCTTATTAAGAACCAAATAAGACCCGTCTAATGTTTAATCACTAACACAGAAAGATTAAAGAATAGGGACTAGGATTTATGGACTTTTAGAATTAACTTAAATATTCTTGATATTTTGAATTACAGAACTGATTCTATCATCATTCAAACATGATTACATGACATTTTATTTCATTTCTAAATATTGCTCTTTACCTAAACGCCTAACCGAGATTCCTAATCTTAGCGCTGACTCATAACCCGGACTTCCAACAATGAACTTGAACTGTAATTCTGAAACATAATTTCAAACCTAATCTCTAACCATACTTCTTAACCTTAAATTTAACCATTATTCTTTAATATTCATTATTATTATTATTATTATTATTATTATTATTATTATTATTAATGGCTTTATTCAATATTATATTTTGGTACAATATAGAATTCTCAGCACAGGGTATTTCAACAAGTTACTTACTGAAAAAAAAACGAACAAATAGGCAGTAGAAAATACAAAAAGAAATTTTTTTAAAAATAAATTTAAAAAAAAAAAGACCAAAAAAAAACTGTGCAAACTTTTTAAAATTAAAGACATGTTAAGAATGTAAATTATTAACTAGGTTATTTCTAACAACCTGTTCGTCACATAGTATATTTGCTAGGTAAGGTATTATAGAACTTTTATACTTTTCCTTACGTGCATGGATTTTAATGTGATTACGTCTCGTTCTACCAGAAGATATACAAGGAGAAAGATAAGAGTGAAGGGGATGGCTAGTATTTGATAAAATAACACCTGCCAGGAGTTTGCATGATTTTAAATGTCTATCCACAACCATATTAATTATGGCCTCTAAAGATTCACCACACATCTTGCTAACTGCCTTCAGCACTCTTCGCAATACAGCAAAGTCTTTTCTCAAAAGCCCGGGAATGAATAATGGAGAACAGTAAAGAATAATAGGTAAAATGCAAGAATTGACAAATTGTAAGAGTAAATGACGAGTAATCCCAAGAGCATGCAATCTCTTTATGTAGTAGGTCAGACGGAAAACCTTCTTCGATAACGATAAAACGTGGGAAGACCAAGACAGATCAGAGGAAAAGGTGACACCAAGATAATTGACCTTCGACACTGAGTTTATGAAAGAGTCTCCGATGGCACAAGCATTATGGGATCTCAAAATGGTGTTTATATTCCGTTCATGTCTCATGCTAAAGTTGACAGCTTGACATTTAGACGGATTAAGTATGAGACCATTACCAACAGACCAACAATCAATACGAGACAAAAACTCATTCATTTCTACGGGATGTAAAGAGGAAGATATAGGCATACATACAGTGAGATCATCCGCATACTTCACAAAAGTGTTTTCTGTGGAAGATGGCAGGTCATGCAGAAAAAAAGAGAATAGAAGAGGTGAAAGAACAGCTCCTTGTGGTACACCTTCCTGAGACAGTAGAGACTCCGAACACTTTCCTCCAAACACAGTGTACTGTTCCCTTCCAGAGAGGTAGGAACATAGCCAGTTGGTTATCCAGCTGTCAGTGTTGACGCTGATTAACTTGTTAAGTAAACGTTGTCTTGGTATAGAGTCAAAAGCTGAAGTATAGTCCAGAAAAGCACAACGAACATACTTCTTACCCTTTTCTAAGTTGAACACTATGTTGTGGTGCAG